AAATATGAACAAACTTAAAAAGTATAAAGTACAAAATACATGACTTCTGCAGGCAGTTTCGCGCCCGTCCTTCATGAAAAAATGTTAACCTTTAAATGTTATTTCACATATTTGAAATATTTTTTTTGCATTCATTGTAAAAAATAACTTAAGAAAATTTATACATTATTTCTGATAACATTTTTAAAGCAAAAGTATTATAATTTGTACGATCATGTAAACCTTCCAAATCAACAGACAGATAAACAAACAAGCAAAGTATATTAATGAAGAAAATAAAAATAAAATAAGAAGAAGGATTGAGCTACATTAACATTAAATCTAAGCTTTGGAATCCAGTTTGAAATATGTCTCCGAATTCAGTTTGCAAAGATAACGGGCCCAGAAAATGATAGATTGTGATGATTGTTCTAACCCTTGTTTTTGTCGTGAATGTAGTAAATTATTGAATTATTTATTGAAATTATAAAACTTGGCAAAGAATGATCATTAACCGGGGAAACCAAATCCATGGTAGGCCTAGTATCGACCTTAATATCTCCTCTGAACCAAACCAACCAATCAGAACACATTATATCATGACGTCAGGAAAAATGCTCATTTGCGACCAATGAGAGAAGAGGAATAGAGAATGCATGATGTCTAGAGCGTAAAACATTACTTGTTCCATTTCAGTGCTTTTCAGGCTTCCAACAATTCAATATTCAGTGAAAACTTACTATGTTACTGGTTTCGTTAGTACAGATATAACACAGCAATTAGGATAGTCAGCAGGTTTAACAAAATAAAATTATAAAAAAATAGAAAAAATTAAATACCTGATTATTTATTAATTATTTTTTTTTAAGATTTTTGACATTTTTATCATTATTATAATTGGTGTAGTTATTTTTTCATTGTTGTTTTTATTCATCGACATTAATTTTTTCTTTTATTTTTGATTTTGATATATTATTAAACCATATGTCAATAAAACATTTCGCAAAGAATTTAAGTTTTTGCCACATACGGTGATATTTTAATCCATATATCTTAGCATAACAATGTCGTAGACATTTGATATTTTAAACTATAAATTATGTTGAATAAAATAGTATAATTTTGAAATATCAAACGTTTACATATTACACTATAGTTTCAGTAGAAGTAAATATTTCCATTTACTGATAGCGCCGATTGAAGGAATCGTAACTGAAAGATAGATGTTACCGCCGTTTCTATTGGTTCAGAAAAGACAACAAACAAATGACTGAACCCTGATTGGATCAGGGGCTGGACTCGGCATACAGGAGTGATTATCAGGTTGCAAAGATATAGTGATTAGAAAATTTGAGTTTGTTGCAAAAACTCAATTCCTTTTCAGTTTTGTTGGGAGAATTTAAACCATAGGTTCTTTAAAAAATTGATCCCCTTCGCCCGAACGTTTAGAAAAACATAAAAACCAAGAAAATACGATTTCGTTGAATTTTTCAAGTCTGTCTTATCTTATACTTAAGATTTTATTTGTACTTCATAGTTTATATGATATGTAATACGCAGAGGAATGTATTGTATAAGATAATTAGATTTTATTTGTTTTTTAATGATAACAAATTCATTATTGATTAAACGACGTATTTAGAGAGATTGATAAACGTATTTGTATTAAAAATAAACTGTTTATGGAAAACAATTGTTTGCTTATTTATAAAATTTAAGGTTTAAATTTCAACTCTTTGGTTAGTCAATATGGGTTGTAGATAATTATGAAACGATTCATATTTTTTAACAATATTTTCAAAAACTTGATTTTAAGATATGATAAATAAATTCAAAAAATTAGAAAAAGGGTCATGTTAAAAACCGGATTTTCTGTTAAATGATGAGCAAACTTTTAAAGAAATATTAGCTATGAAAATATATGCGGATTTTTGGTTCCTTTTGTTAATAACCCCCCCCCCCCCTTTCCTCAGTTCTGTGGCACCCCTTCTTTTGTTTTTATGAAGAATGCACCACCGACCGGCTGTGTGAGACCGGACCGGCTTTCCATTTTCTCCGTGTCTACGGCCTCCACAGACCCTCGAGTCCCTTCTTCCTTTCTCCGACCCGGCCGGAAGGAGCCAGAGTCCGGAAACTATGGCAGACCTAAACCTTTTTTCCAATAGAACTTGCTGATAAAGAAATATTTTCTGGAGTCTAGTGAGGGGATCCTGGTGTACAGGATATTTAGCTTTCAGGCAGTTGTTGTTGACCATCAGTCAAGGAATAGGTCGCCATTTTGCATTCCTGACAGAGGGTACTTGTTGACGCAAATTATCAAAGTTGTTGACGCACTTTTTTGCAACTTGTTTACATCGTGATTGTACAGTTTTATATAGTTTGAAAAATGCTATATTTTAATCATGCATTCAAATGTAAGTTTTTTAGTGATGTTTAAACAATAGGAAAATAGGTAACATAAAAACATAAAAAAAATTATTTTTGTTTTTCGATGTAAAGGTAATTTTACTTACGAATTTGTTAATTACCTACTGAACTAATGAATTATCTCGATAAGATAATTGATTTCCTGATTTTTTTTTCTTCAAGGAATTGATAAATATCTATTGATAAATGGTTTATCTCTAGAAAAAAGGTTTAAGAATTTGAATTTATGGCATTCTTAAAATTATTTTCTTGAACTTTATATTAAAAATTATTTGACAGTTTAATTGCAGTAATTTTGTTTGGCATTTCTTACAACGTTTTCCTAAAGTCATATCTAACAAATCATTTTAAATCCTTAATTATTTCACAAAGAAAACCCTTTACTATGTTTAAAAGGAAATACACACCTACCTAATTTGTTTATTTGTTTACAAAATTTGTACTGCACATTCTTGTAGGAATGTTGAATTGTATGTTTTTTTCTTTCAAAACTGCAGTGCGTGAGTTTTTTTGTAAAAAGTAAAATTTTACAATAAAATTATATTATATTTCAGAGAAATATATGATAATGAGAAAAACATAGCCCTACAGAATAAAAAATGGTTTTAACATCTCCACAACGCACTCTGTCCCCCTCACGGACGCTGCCTATAGGAATAAACAACAACAACAACAATAATGAGGTAGGAATGTAAACAAGTGTACTGCAAGGAGGGGGGGGGGTAAGTAAATCTAGGATTTAAGGAGGATTTTCTCTTCAAAAAGTGACAAAAAGTTGTTTTATTTGAAATGTGTATTTAAAATATTCGCATATTTTCTTTATAAATTATTGAAAACCCTACTGGGTTGTATTTTTACCAATGAGATCTGATTAAAGGGACTGTGAACCTAATTTCAAATAAACGAAATTAGTTTTTAAAAGGAAATAAAAATTATCAAAATTACTAAAAAAGTGGCCCTAACTGTTTAGCGAACATATTTGGGCCAATTAACATAGTTGTAATTGACAAAACTTATTCTTTGGCATTCATCGAGTCCGATTTCCATATGGGGGTACCCTTAAATACCTAGCCTAATCAAGAATATCCATGATCCTTTCCTAAACAATTGATTATTTTCAATTGTGGTTTTCGCATTTCTGGTTCAAAAACAATTAGAGAAAATCATCACAATTAAACACTTTTCAATTTAGAAAAACATAACCTTCCACATTTAGATCATAATTACTGATAAAGGTTTGGCGGCGAGTACCTTTGTAAATCAGACATTACCGTTTCAAACAGAAACTCTCTTGAACATACGTGAACAGTCTCTTTAAAGTCGAAGGGAGGTGTTTCATGTTTTCTGAATATCTCTTTGTTTCCCAAACGCCTACCTACAAAATTAGCTAAGCCTTGTAAAATATATAACATATATTTACATTCATGTAAAAAATACGGTAAAAAGTTTGAGAGCTGAGCCTTTATAATTACACAAAAATGTGCTACACATGTTTTCAGTGCGAGATAATAAATATAATTAAATATATATGGGTATTATAAATATTTTACGACATCAGCCCCCCCCCCACTCTGGCCCCACCCCCAGCATAGCACATGGTGAAATATACTTTTAATTCGTAAAACAATTACATTATCTCTTTTCTATTTCTGTTCTTTTGAAATCGAAAACGATATACTAATTTTGTAAATTACAAAAAAATTTAAATTTCTTTTATTTCAGTGCCTTCAGAGATTACATAGTGTTTGAACTAAATTTAATAAAGATACATCGTAACACAATGACATATGTTGAAAAGAATTGAGTCTTTGCCACCAACTCTGATTTTATAATCTCTGTATCTTTGCAACAAAATATCGTATGACCTTTGATATTTCAAACTATGAATTTTGTTAGATCAAATAATCTAAGTTTAAAAATTTAAAAGTATTTACCATCAAGTTTCTAAGATATAGGGATTAAAAAATTGAGTTTGTGACAAAAACTCAATTCCTTTATTTAAATTTTTGCTGAAAAAAATAAGTAAATATAAAATTGAGGCCCCTTGAATAAACGCTAAAATATACCTTAATTTAGTTCAAAATTAGTTTTTTATATTGTCTAGCTCTAATTTCAAAATAAAGTAAATTCCACGTTATATTGATATCTTGCAGGTTTTCGATCCTAACTTCTCGTTTTGCAGAGCAGAGACCTATTCGGACAAATTTCTAAAATGCAACCAAAATTAAATTTTCTTTTTCTTACTCTGGCGAAAATAAAAGCTATAGGAGCTACAATTAAAGTGATATTTCTTTTTTAATCTGGAAACACGCAGTGCAGCTGATATGCTCACAAAAAATGAACGAGATAGTTTTTCATCGACTTCATGTAAAATCTAATCAAATATTTTGTTTATATTCTTTAAAGAATTTCACGATCAATTAGACAATAAGTCTTCAAACAGGTTTAGTCCACGTAAATTGTATAGAATGCATCAGAATTCTTATAAATATTTTATCTATCTATCTATATATTTATCTATCTATCTATCTATCTATCTATCTATCTATCTATCTATCTATCTATCTATCTATCTATCTATCTATCTTTTCCCAACTCGTTTTCTGTCCTCTCTTGTACATCAGACAAAGATGAATTATCTTTTTCGAACAGGTAACTTAAAAAAAACTGTTTCTACTTTTCTTTTAAAAATTTCCAAAAATATTAAATTTTTTAACATCAGTCATTTTTACTTATTCTAAAGACAAAAACAGTGCAAATCTTTCATCAGGCTTAAGAGAGAGGCAACTGATTACTTGCATCACACTCAAATTTTCTAATCTTTCATATATCTTTGCATCTAGATGTCGTAGATTTTTGTTATTTCAAACTGTAAACTCATGAGTTTGAAGTATCAAGCTGTACATTATAAGATAAAGAAAAAGAAATTAGAAAATTAGAATTTGAGGCTAGTAATCAATTCCTTTGTTTGATTTAAGATTGCAACATTCATGAGAGAATTAAGAAAGCTATAAATGATTCTTCAGGAGATCGATATTTATATAACAAAATCTGGAAGTGTCGCAATTTACAATACATGTAATAACATATTTTACAACAATCTTATCCTATAATGTATCATCATACATAAAAACGACGCAACAATATTTTATTAAAAACAGTTGTGTAAAAAACAATATTTTCCTTATAAAACTTAGGTTTACACTATGGGATTTATTTCTGATGATTTTAATGATTTAGCTCCGTAATAATTCGTATCTTTAATGAAAATGGGGGGGGGGGTTGCTACCTTCGACCCACCCCCCTCCTATTTGTGCCGATGATTTAATCATTCAATGTAACTCCGTTATGCTATATTAAACTTTATCCGGGTTGTATTTGATCGTTTATCCATATATACACACATTATTTCATCATTCATAGCATATCATTCATATTCTTACAGATTTATCAGTTATTAAAATGAAAAGCACCCTTAACATTTTTTATTTTTACGGTTGCAATAATATTTTCGTTTTCATATCTAAAACTATCAACAATTGCAGTCACTATTCACTGGAAGATTTATAGAGGGAAAAAAAGAAAATTGCCGAGATTCGTCTTATTCCAGGGGGAAAAACGACGAAATCTATGCGATACTTTTCGAATAAAGATTTACAGGATACTTTTCCGAATAAAGGATTAAAGGATACTTTTCCGAATAAAAGTTTAAAGGATACTTTTCCGAATAAAGGTTTAAAGATACTTTCCTAATAAAGTTTTACAGGATACTTTTCCGAATAAAGATTTAAAGGGTATTTTTCCGAATAAAGGTTTAAGGATACTTTTCCTAATAAAGGTTTAAAGGATACTTTTCGAATAAAGGTTTAAAGGATACTTTTCCGAATAAAGGTTTAAAGGATACTTTTCCGAATAAAGGTTTAAAGGATACTTTTCCGAATAAAGGTTTAAAGGATACTTTTCCGAATAAAAGTTTAAAGGATACTTTTCCAAATAAAGGTTTAAAGGATACTTTTCCTAAATTAAGTCTCTTTTTTATTTTAGCTCCCCGGAAATTGATTTTAAAGATAGGTATTTGTGTAGAAATTAGATATTATTATTATTAAATCATTTTATTTATTTATTTGCACTTTTTAGAATTAGTTTTAAGTAATTCAATTTAACACTTTACAAAACTTTTCACTGACACTTGTAACCTAGTTAAGTGTAGATTGTAGAAGTTACATGTTACGGCGGTTATGTAAGGCCTTACTAGAACCTGAAGCAAAATCTTAAACAATAAAAATTAATGTTTAATAAAATTGTTTTTTTTTTACTTCAAAAGAATGAACATTAATCATTTATTTGAAGTAAATTTTTTAATTGTATTCAATTATATTTTTGTTAAGTATTTCTTTTTTGTAAAAAACAAGCATACTTTTGTCCCCGTTTTTTCACTTTATTTATCAGCCTAATATGTAATATATAAAAAAAAACTCGAAATAATTTAGAATTTGAAATTTTTGAATGGACAGAATCAGTTTATTTCATGTTTCTTTTAGGAGATATAAACAAACCTCCACATCGGTCCAATGCCGAAATTTAACATTAGCAATAATGAATTCAGCTCACCTCTTTTAAGTTCCAAGGTCTCATCATTTATTTTTGAAGACATGTACGTGGCCATGCCTTAAAAAGTGCTTTTTTTAAAAACTAGTTTTAAACATCTTTAAAAATCTTGCATGGTTTTAAAGAACTAAAATGCTGAACTGTAAAGTGTACTGGTTTAGTTAAATCACGGTGCCAGTGTTCCTTCAATAACCAATTTGGGTAAAGCTATGTGTCAGCTGTCAATTTCAGACTTACAAAAATAATTTTTTTGAGAGCGATAAAATGAATCCTCACCCTGCATCCCTGCCTAATTAGTTTTATCAACAAGTTTTAATTTTTCAAATAAAAAAATATGCCCATTTGGATCTAGAATCTACCCCCCCGATTTAAAGTTGGGAGGAACCTAGGATTACGGGTTGCTGATTTCCAGAATGTAATATAAAAAGCTCTTTGCTTATATTTATGTATAGCTATACATTTTAGCAATACCTGGGGATGTGCTAAAAAATTAGAATTATTTTTTTCAAAATTAGAATTTCGAGAAAAAAATGTCCAATGTTTAATTTTAAAAAAAACACAATTTTTTGTTTAAATTCGAAATTTCGAGAGAAAATTCTTTTTTTACAAAGTGTTTTTAAAATTCCACGGGGAACGGCGGACACTAGTTATTAATATTGATTATGTTTAGTATGCTGTATATTGAGGACGAGGTTGGATTATCTCCAAGGAACCTATCTCCTGTACTCCTGGATATAGGGAAGGGCCATAAATCTGATGGAGATGCGGATGCTCCCCCTACACCCTCACAGGTACTTACCAATGTTAACTCTACAATCTTGAAATAGAAGAAGGTTGTAGGCAAAACAAATTAGCCGGAACTTCGGAGTCATCTAAACAAAATTATGAAATGTCGTCTTTAGAATTTTTCAATGTGTTATCTACTATTATACGTAAATCTCAATGAAATATGTAAAATATATTGGAACAGTTTTAAAGAGCTCCATATAATTATTTAATCAAAAATCTAAATATCTGCAGTATTGCATTATCAGTTTTTTAGTGTCTCCGAAGCTCTGTTAAACTGTAAATTATAATTGAACAGCAAACAGTCCCTCTCTACAAACTCTAATTTTCTAATCTCTATATCTTTGCATCCTAGAAGATAAACCTTTTATATTTTAGAGGAATTGGGTCTTTGCCACGAACTCTGATTTTCTAATACCAAATCTTTGAAATCCAATGTCTCGTATTACTCTCGTATATTTCAAACTATGAATTCTGTTAGATCAAGTAAACGAAGTTTGAAATATAAAGAATTACATAATCAGGTTGTAAAGATGTAGTGATAAGAAAATTTGAGTTGTTGTAAAGACTCAAATCCTTTAAACTATCTATCTAGGCCAAAGCAATCAGTTTTGTCAGATTGGAAATTTAAAGTTTGAGACGAGTAACCAGTTCCTATTAAAATATTCTGATTTATGTTTGATAAATGAATATATCTAGGTAACCTATAGAGTTCCAATTTAAAGTTTGAGACTCGAGTTACTAGTTAAAATATTCTGATTAATGCTTGATAAATGAATATATCTAGGTAACCTATAGAGTTCCAATGCCTGTAGGACGACTAACCAATGCTGGTTGGTTGGATGGTATTCTAGGATGCTTGAAACCTATGTGGATGATTATAGGGAAGAATAAACCGAATGAGGTCGAAAAAGGTGAGAAAAAATTTTAAAAATAAAGCTCTTCGCTCATAAATATATATATATTTATATATGTTTTCTACAGCTAGCCAGCTGGGTACCCCGGAGGTGACATAGAATACATTTTATTTTTTATTTTTAAAAGTCCACGCCCTACGCCAGGAACTTCAGTTAAAATCATGATTAAATACCAAGCGCGGGTAAACGGCAGGAGTAACTTTGACTATGAATAATAATATAAACCTGGGAAACGTTCAATGTGATTTAAAGGTCTCACGCTCTCAAGAAAAAATTCGAGGTTTTAATTTTTACTAAAAAAGATGGATGCATGAGCTTGATGACTTGCAAGATACGGACATCTTCAACTTTGAATTTGCCAGGTCATTAATAAATCAAAGATGTGGTGAAGGTGGAGGGTTCCATTTTTCAAATCTTTAGGATAAAGTTGTTTTATAATCATTGGATTTTATCATATAAAATATCTTATCTTCTAAAGAATTAATTCATGGTTAATTGTGTATGTCCCTTTAGTCAAAATTTTCAATGGTTTTAGTCAAAAATTGAAAAATAGATTTTTGGTTTTGGTGAATTGAATTTTCCATTAACCTTTATATTGTCTGTAGGTATAAAATGCCCCAGTTTTATAAAATAAAAGTATATATTCTCATTTTGGATTTTCAAATCTCACTACCGCCAATACCACAGTTTTAAAATAAAAGTTGAAATTTTTTATTTGGATTTTTGATTTTCAAATCTCACTACCGCCAATACCACAGTTTGAAAATAAAAGTTAAAATTTTATATTCTCATTTTGGATTTTGAAATCTCACTACCGCCAATACCACAGTTTGAAAGTAAAAGTTGAAATTTTGTATTCTCATTTTGGAATTTTAAATCTCACTACCGCCAAAACTTCTAGTTTAAAAGTATTTACATTTTCTAATTTCGAAAAAAGGCATGTAATAATAATCTGAAAATTCTCAAAAAAATGTACAAAAACTAGCTCTCAAAGCCTTCAATACCATTTTCTTTTAATTTGTACATAAAATTTTCGCTCAAAAAGAAGGCATTTTATTCAAACACTTATATTGTTGGTGATTAAACACGTCTTGTTACTTTAATCTTTACCCTTATCAGAGGTATTAAAATCATTTCTTCTTAAAAGAGAATATATACGACGTTTTATTTAAGTGACTTAAGATTTAACTGGTTCAGGATACACATAATGATACTTTTTAAACTTGGAGAAATTTTAAGAATTAAACACGAGATAGATAAACGACGGTATCTTTCCCTTTCACCTGAAGATGAATATTTGTGGTGGATTTATCCTTCTGTAAGGAAGATGTAATCTGTAAGTGAAAGGTTCAAATGTTGATATTGAGGTGAAAGGCTCCAAATTTAAAGTGATTAAAAAACTAATTTTTTTTCAAGAACTATAAGTTTAAATTCGAAACAGAAATGAGTAAAAAATGATCAGTTTTCTATCAAATGCCAAGGTTTACACAATTTTACAGTGAATATGAAGATGAATTTATATCATAAATCATATTCTTACTCCAGGAAATTATATAATTTGATTATAATCAGGTTTCTAGCGGTAGAATTTGTCTAATAAAACACAATTTATTATTCGAAAAGACTTCTCCATACTTCAGTCAAAATACTTTTGTTATTTATTCGAAAGGAATTGAGTCTAAAATTCTAATTTTCTGCAACTTGATGGCGTAAATATTTGATATTTCAAACTTGATTATTTGATCTAACAGAATTCATAGTTTGACATATCTAAGGTTGGGTTGCAAAGATAAAGGAATTAGAAAATCAGATGTTGTGACAAAGACTCAATTCCTGTACTTGAGGCAAATTGTTTTTAACTGCTACCTATTGGTATTGCTATTACTACCTTATTTTAACATACTTTTCACCTTTCAAATCTGCCACATAAATAATACCGTAGTATTTATAAGAACTTGTCGAAATATTGCCAAAGGAAAATATGGACATCGATATTCTGAACTATCTTATCTTCAATATGCAAACAAACAGATAAAATAATGTGTTGAAACAATTTTGCAAAATATGTTGAAATGTCAAATGGAATTTATCAAGTTGAAGGATGTGTCCATACAGTTTTGATAATTTAAAAAAAAATAGTTTTGCAATATTTTTTTTCTACTTTATATGTTCTTAAAGTTAAAGTAGAAATTAACTTTAGACCAATTCGTGGAGATAAATAGACATACATTTTTAATCTGTTTTTTACAAAAAAAGCTAAAGTTTATAAGCAACTCGTTCAAAGGGAGTGTTCCCTAAAAGTTAGTAAAACTGCAGTAAATTATGAATTTTTTGCTACTTAATTTAGTCATATGTTTCTTGCATAATTTGTAATAATCCTTTCAAGAAATGAAGCTTAAAAATTTCTGTGCACTGTGTCGGTGACTTTACAAAAACATCAGTTAGTAACAAATTCATCCGTATTTGATCAAATTTTATCCTGTACCCCTTGTTTTTTTGTGTGACCACTCTCTTTAAATATAGTAAATATTTTTAAATAATGAGTTTTTTTGTCTAATCTACCCCAAATGTTTACTTAAAACATAAATTATTAATATTTATTAACATTAAATGAATTTATAGATATTTTTATAATAATGTTTAGAACGTCCTAAAAGCAATTTATGTGGTTAACATGCAATAGGAAAGGATCAATTCATTTACTTTTTTATTTCAACCTTTTTTATATAAGAAAATATCAAAATATCTGCTCTTCTTGTTAGTTTATCTATCCTGTCTATTTTGTGTTCTATTCAGTTGTTTTTCTATCTATTTATCTATCTATCTATCTATCTATCTATCTATCTATCTATTTGTCTATCTATCTATCTATCTATTTATCTATCTATCTATCTATCTATCTATCTATCTTTCTATCTATTTATCTATCTATCTATCTATCTATCTATCTATCTATCTATCTATCTATCTATCTATCTATCTATCTATCTATCTATCTATCTATCTATCTATCTATCTATCTATCTATCTATCTATCTATCTATCTATCTATCTATCTATCTATCTATCTATCTATCTATCTNAATGTTTATTTAAAACGATTGTAAATATTTGTAAATATAAAAATCAGAATCGAAAATTGTATAAAAACGAATTTATGATTTGTTTCTTTTAGTTGATAACTGGGAGATTCCTTTCGAGAATATATCAGACCTTGAATGGTTGGGTTCAGGAGCCCAGGGAGCTGTCTTTGTCGGCAGGTTAGATTATGTTCAGAAGCCCAGGAAGCTGTATTTGTCGGCAAAAAATAAACGAGTCGTATAATGCAACTTTCTGAATTTGTATGGACGCTACGTTCTTCAGTCGTTTTTAACAATTTTCTCCTTAATGACGAGACAGATAGAAGGACAATGAGTAGCGATCAAAAGCAATTATTTTTCGCCGTAAGCCAATTCCCGCTTTTATTTTTCGCGAACACTCCTTTTAAGGTTTAGGTCAAGGTCAAGGTTAAGGTCATGGTCATGGTCAACGTCACGATTAAAGTCTAGGTCAAGGTAGGGTCATGGTCAAGGTCGAGATGGTTTTGATTTAAGATCATTTCAATTAATCTGTTAATCTATCAATATTACCAAACTAATTCTTAATTTAACATATATTTAGATACCAGGGGGAAACAATTGCTGTGAAGAAAGTAAAAGAAGTTTTTGAAACAGACATTCGGCATCTTAGGAAACTAAATCATCCTAATATTGTACAATTCAGGTATTCATTTATTTTTTATTTTTTGTTTGTTCCTTTTTTCCTTTTTTTTCTTTCTTTTTCGTTGTTTTTTTGTTTGTTTGTTTCTTTCTTTTTTCTGTCTTTCTTTTTTTCTTTCTTTCTTTCTTTCTTTCTTTCTTTCTTTCTTTCTTTCTTTCTTTCTTTCTTTCTTTCTTTCTTTCTTTCTTTCTTTCTTTTGTACTGTATTGTATTGTATTGTATTGTATTGTATTGTATTGTATTGTATTGTATTGTATTGTATTGTATTGTAGGGGTGTGAGTACCCAGTCCCCTTGTTATTGTATAATAATGGAGTACTGCCCCTACGGGCCCCTCTTCAACATCCTGCGTGAGGGGAGGGAGGTGGCCCCTAAGAAGCTAGTGGATTGGACCAAGCAGTTGGCTACAGGGATGAATTATCTTCATCAAAACAAGATTATTCATAGAGATCTCAAGAGCCCTAAGTAAGTTGCTCAATTTGCAGTAGTGACTTATAAAACTGTAAAGTAGGTAGACGGCTATTGCATGATTATAGACATAGAGAATAGAATATATAGAGAGGAATTTACTGGAAAAAAGTGTAAAACGGCCATTTTGTTGTTACTGTTTCCATACTGCAGGTGTACTTCACATATTTATGCTATATAATCTGTTGGGCCCTGGAATATCATTTTTTAGAAAATCTAAAATTATTGTTAAAAGAAAACCAAATTATGAAATAGGCTGGTTTCATAATTGACCAATGATCATTTCACATAGACTCTATGCCTTCCACTTTACAACCGATGATTTTCCGTTATAACTATAAATCAAATGATGTTTTTATTCACCTAATTCATTATAAAGTTTATTTAACAGCTTTAAAAAATTCGAAATTGAAATGGATAGTCATACTGTATTAATGTACTCTACTGCATATAATTTGTGAACATTTACATGATTTGTACACTTTGAACTCCCTTTCAGGCTGAAAGGGACTGAAAAAATTCATACCGAGAGATTCTTTTAATTCCTCTCTATATATTCTATTCTCTATGATATAGATAGTCCAATGTACATGCAACAAAGCGACTTTACAGTGTGTACTGTACATGTAGACCCAATTAATAAAATTATTTTCAAACCATTTGCTTTGAAACTCAAACTTAAACTCAATTTTTTTGAATCCCTATATCTTTGCAACCAGATGGTATAAACCATTGATAGTTTGAACTTAGACTATTTGATCTTACAGAATTCATAGTTTGAAATATAAAGGTCTACCACCTCGGGAATCAAAGATTAAGAGATTGAAAAATTAAGTTTGTGTCAAAAACTCATTTCCGTTAAATTAGTTTTTTTAGTTTGAAAATGTTTTTTATTGATTTCATTCGAAAAAAAAATCGTTGCAATTATTTTTTTCTAAAACTAATTATTTTATTTTAATGTTTAGTATTTTGATTGCAAAGAACGATGTGATCAAGATAAGTGATTTTGGAACATCTCGTCAATGGTCAGAACATAGTACAAAAATGAGCTTCGCCGGCACAGTTGCCTGGATGGCCCCAGAAGTTATTAGAAATGAGCCCTGCAACGAAAAGGTAGAATTTATGTTAATAAAAAAGATAAGAATGAAAAAATTAAATTGTTGAATTGTTAATAGTTTTATTAAACCTTATTAAATCAACTATAGTTTACCTTCGTCTACAAGTACCCGTGACATTAACAATACTTAAGATAAAAACACTAAAAAATCCGAAGTTTACTGAAGTCCTTTGAAAATAAAGTTATGGGAAATAAAGTCTAATACTAATTTTTAGCAATGACTTTTTTCCGAAAAACAGCATAAAAAGTCATGAATTTATTTCCATGACTTTTTAAGCTTTGGATAAAAAGTCAAGACTTTTTTTTCCGGAGCCGGAGTTTCTGAATTGGGACTTTTTTCCGAACACTTTTTTGCTTGTGAATTTTTGGATATTACCGACATTAAATTGTACCGTTGCACGTTGTGAAGGGAAATTTATCTCGAATTTACATTAATATTTAAAAATAACTACAAATATTAGACCAATATTTTATAGAAATTACAACAAAAAAATTACATCAAAAAATGTCAAAAATATTTTTTCTACAATATTCCACCTCTCTGTTTTATTGAATATTCTAGCATTTTTTGGGGGGATATTCTAGCTTTAAGTTTCTTTGGAATATTTTAAGCTCGATGCGTCTTTAAATCTTTCCCATATTTTTATTTTAGATTAGCTTAAGAACGCATCATTGCCTGGAAACTAAACTTTCTCTAAAAAAAAACCCCCTCGATTTAGAATTTTCAACCCAATCTTACAATTATGTTCTTATAAAAATTGGAGTCAGTCAACGGGTTCATAAGTTATGTTCAACCAGCCAAACAGAGATTTATACCTTAAATATATATATATATATATATATATATATATATAGATTTCAAAATAACAATTTGTTTGGTTTCAGGTCGACATTTGGTCCTTCGGTGTCTGTGTTTGGGAGCTATTAACCTGTGAGATACCTTACAAGAACGTGGACAGCTCTGCTATTATCTGGGGAGTTGGGAGCAACTCCTTACAGCTTCCCATCCCTTCAACCTGTCCTGATGGATTTAAGCTACTCGTTAAACAGTGCTGGTCAGCAAAACCTAGGAATAGACCCAGTTTCAGGTAATAATGTAAACAAAAAAGTGTACTGCAGTGTTTAGGAGGAATGTAAACAAGCAAGTGTACTGCAGTGTTTGGGAGGAATGTAAACAAAAAAGTGTACTGCAGTGTTTGGGAAGAATGAAAACAAACACTCAACAGCTAGCAAAAATTTAAGAGACTTTATCGATGAATGAAATACAGAGTTTTCTTTTTGGGGTTTTGATATTGATTATAAATATTATAGATTTACAAAAAATCCTATAAAAAAACTTTTAAACAGAAATAGTAAAAAAGTACATCTGATCTGCATTTTACTGCAAGGTAGAACAATTGAAAAGTATAGTTTATTGAACCCTCAGCTTGCGTGCAAATAATTTAAAAATCATAATTTGGATTTAAATTTCTCGTAACACAAGTAGTAAATATGGAGGTTCTAAAAACCTATTTGTATTGAGTAAATTAACTGAATACTTCTCTCAATATCTTATTTTAAATCCCCATTTTTTTGTAACTTGAAGGTCTTACCTTTTCATATTTCAAATTTTTAAGGTCTATGACATCAGGTTGTATAAATAGAGTTGAGACATTTGTTTAATACACAGAACAGAGATTAATCTGTATGTGTAGTGTACAATAACCTTTATACTTGAATAATCTGATGATATATATCAGACAGCTGTGATCTTCATATTTAAGATTTTTCAAGCCTATGATAATATATTTAAGCAGAAATTTAGAGTGTCTTGGTGTACGTTTTTTAAAGATATTCCAGGTTCCATGACTTTTAAAAAATCTTAGACATGTTTAAGCTGAAAGAAAAGGGCAAATGTGACATGGAAATATTAACTTTCAAATTTGTCTCAGATATTTTCTCTCCTTTAAGGGGACTGTCTTTGTAATTTCAAGTGACCCTTTATCTCTAAAAAGCTTACCTAATTTACAACAGTAGCCTTTAAACATTTTTCTACACACTATTCTCAAGCAGAAAAGCGTATTTTCTACACATTATTCTCAAGAAGAAGGGCGTATTTTCTACACATTATTCTCAAGCAGAAAAGCGTATTTTCTACACATTATTCTCAAGCAGAAAAGCGTATTTTCTACACATTATTCTCAAGAAGAAGGGCGTATTATCTACACATTATTCTCAAGCAGATGGGCGTATTCTCTACACATTATTCTCAAGCAGAAGGGCGTATTTTCTACACATTATTCTCAAGCAGAAGGGCGTATTTTCTACACATTATTCTCAAGCAGAAAGGTGTATTTTCCACACATTATTCTCAAGGTGAAGGTCGTATTTTCTACACATTATTCTCAAGCAGAAGGGTGTATTTTCTACACATTATTCTCAAGCAAAAGTGCGTATTTTCTACACATTATTCTCAAGCAGACAGATGTATTTTCTACACATTATTCTCAAGCAGAAGGGCGGATTTTCGCTTAATAAAGAACCCAAAATTGAAAATGATTGAATTGATATCTTTTGCATTCTTGATGAGACACAGTGTTTAAGAGTATTGTAGAGAGGATCGTACATGCCTTTTTTAAATACATTTGAAATAACATGTCCAGTCCCTTAATTTTCTAAATGCTTATTTCAGGCATATATTGATGCATCTTGATATAGCAGCAGTCGAACTACTCAGCTTTAGACCTGAAGATTACTTCAGAACTCAACAAACATGGAAGGCAGAGGTCTGGGAGTACAATGAGAAAATGAGGTAATAAATATTACACCTCACCTCACACACAAAATGGTGATAAAGTGTGTCGAGAACAAATTTTTTTGAGGGTGGAGGGAGAAAATTTCAGAAAATTTCAACTAAAAAATAATAATTCTGCAACTATATATCTATAAAAAAAATCCTCAATCGAATCCTGTATAAATGTAACTTTAAAAAAACCCAATTTAAGAGTTGTATTCTAGATTCACAAAGGTACTTCTTTTTTAACAAAAATGAAGAAGATATCTTACTTTTTCTAATTTAGTAAATATCCCTCTTAATCTCTGCCTTATAGTTATCTCTTGTGTTTTTGGCATGGTGAACACTTAAAGAAACGTCTACAGTCCCTTTAAACGCTTGAAGAAACGTGTACAGTCCCTTTAAACACTTGAAGAAACGTCCACAGTCCCTTTAAACACTTGAAGAAACGTCCACAGTCCCTTTAAACGCTTGAAGAAACGTGTACAGTCCCTTTAAACACTTGGAGAAACGTCTACAGTCCCTTTAAACACTTGAAGAAACGTTTACAGTCCCTTTAAAAGCTTGAAGAAACGTGTACAGTCCCTTTAAACACTTGAAGAAACGTCTACAGTCCCTTTAAACACTTGAAGAAACGTTTACAGTCCCTTTAAAAGCTTGAAGAAACGTGTACAGTCCCTTTAAACACTTGAAGAAACGTGTACAGTCCCTTTAAACACTTGAAGAAACGTCTACAGTCCCTTTAAACACTTGAAGAAACGTCTACAGTCCCTTTAAACACTTAAAGAAATGTCTACAGTCACTTTAAACACTTGGAGAAACGTGTACAGTCCCTTTAAACATTTGAAGAAACGTGTACAGTCCCTTTAAACAATTCTATACTCTAGATGTGAGGGAAGTAGTATACCTATAGCTGATGAGGTTCTTGTCAAAAAAAGAAAAGAAGAATTAAAGCATGCCCAGGTTCTAATCTTTAAAATTTTAAAACTTAAAATTTACTTTGATTTACTTAATTGATTTACTTATCTTTAACAAATACCCACTGGTCTAAACTTTAAAAATATCCACTGATCAAATCTTTAACAAATATTCACTGTTTTAAACTTTAAAAATATCAACTGTTTGAATCTTTAAAAAATATCAAATGGTCTAAACTTAAAAAATATCAACTGTCCTAATCTTTAAAAATATCAACTGATCTAATCTTTTAAAAATATCAACTGTCCTAATCTATAAAAATATCAACTGTTCTAATCTTTTGATAATATTAACTGTTCACAACTGTTCTAAACTTTAAAAAATATCAACTGTTCACAAATCTTTGAAAATATCAACTGTTCTAATCTTTTAAAAATATCAACTGTTCACAAATCTTTGAAAATATCAACTGTTCTAATCTTTAAAAGATATCAACTGTTTTAATCTTTAAAATTATAAACTGTTCACAAATCTTTGAAAATATCAACTGTTCTAATCTAATCTAATCAGCTGTTTTAAACTTTAAAAATATCAACAGTTCTGATCTTATAAATATCATCTGTTCTCTACTTTAAAAATATTAACTGTTCTAATTTATAAATATCAATTGTTCTAAACTTGAAAAATACCAACAGATGTTCTAATCTTTTGATAATATCAACTGTTCACAAATCTTTGAAAATATCAACTGTTCTAATCTTTAAAAAATATCAACTGTTTTAATCTTTAAAGATATAAACTTTTCTTAGCTTTAAAAATATCATCAACTGTTATAAACTTTAAGATATCAACTGCTCTAATTTTTAAAGATATCAACAGTTTAAACTTTAAAAATAAGTAACTAGTTTTCAATACAACTAACTATATATTTTCAATGTGTACAGGATATCCGGGAATTATATGAGCGTAAGCTGGAGCGAGCTAATAATCTGTACCTGGAGATGAGCAAAGTTATTCTTCAGGTTGAACAGAGAGAGAGAGAAGTCTCAAGGTAGGATTTTAGTTTTGAGCCTAAATCGCTTAGTCTTGAGCCTAAATCGTTCAAACGATCAGAGCTATCCACGATTTAGTCTAATTTAGTGATTTTCTGGTTTTTTAACTCAACTCAGTCTAAGTCTGAGATTTTTAAAAAATCATTTAAATCCCAGCTTCTGAAGTTTTACGAACATTTTAAATTTGAAAAAACTGTTTAAAGTGAGTTTGTGTATCCTTGTACACCATTTGCGTTGAAATATGATTATAACTTTCTCTGATAATTAAAAACAAGAATAATTGTTTTTTGATAAATTGTATGTCCAAAATGTTTCAAGTTAGATCAATGATGACTTGAATATAGTGTATTCATCCTTGTGATTATATAATATATGTATAATCGATAAACAGTGAAAACTGAATGACGTCAGTTAACACTTGTTCGGTTTCATCAAAGAACAGAACTTAACAGAAAATTTACATTTCAATAAGATACTTTTGGGAATAAAAATATCAGTTTTAAAACAGAAAATTATAGATAAATTTTCTTTATTCATCACTTAGGGTTGGCTTGTTTGGGGAAAATCTTGTTAACAAGTATTGGGAATTCAGTTTAAAGAATGAGCCGAGATGAGTCCAACATCGCCATTAAAATTGACAACAATTTATTTCTTTAAAAAAGTTTTTATTTCCATCTTCTGAAAAAAAGAATTATATTTCAAAGCCAAATGCGATGATATCTTTGGTAGAACAGTAATAATTCACGTAAAACTGGTATGGTCGGATATGAACTTTATAACGTACTTAGGCAATTTTAAGACACGTGCATGAACAATGCACTATAGCTGCAATATGCAATCTTAAGACAGACATAAATCATTTATATTTTAGGCGAGAGTTGGAGCTTAAATCTGGAGAGAAATACTTACAGAGTCAAAATAAGAAAAAACTACGGCCCTCGATTAATAAGTCGGGACGAATACAGAAAAAATGCAATAATTACCACTCAAGCATCAGAAGTCATGATATATCGGCTGATATGCTTTCTACCTCACCCGACTCACCGATACACGCGGGCGCAGCTGCCCCGCGTACTGTGGTAAGAGCCAATCCGCTCTTCCAAATGGAAGACGATCTGTCAAGTTGCGGGTTTTCACTGGTAAGCTCTGGGGAGCACCTCGCACTTACTATTTTGTAGAAATAAATAAGCTTCGTTTCAAATTAATATCAAGAAAATAGGTTAAAGATAATAAAAATTGATATCAGTTTGACTTCATGCATGATAAACTATAAACTATTAAATATCCAATATTTTCCATTTTAAACTTGTTAAAACTGGTTAATATTATTCAAGAAAACAAACTCTTTAAAAAGAAAAATCAAAAATATCTGAGGTGAATGAAAATGGTGAAACAAATTTAATAAAAATTTATCAGTTTATTAGTTTGATTACATGCATGATAGTTTTTTTTAAATCTAAATTTTTTTTCGATATCCTTTAGTGTACATTATTTTTATGTGTAATTACATATGAAAAAATGTTACAAATTTTACATATGTTACGACGTTACATGTTACATGTTACATGTTACATGTTACATGTTACATGTTACATGTTACATGTTACATGTTACATGTTACATGTTACGACGTTACATGTTTGCGGATCGATTTTTAGATAAAAACAATTCTAGTATCAAATTGATTTCAAGAAAATAGGTACAAAGATAAAAAATTTAAATTAGTTTGATTTCATGCATGATAAAGTAAACAATTAAATATCCAATATTTTCTGGTTATTATTAGTCTAGAAAACAAACTCTCTAAAAAAGATTAAAAGTGTCTGAGGTAAGTTTTGGATCAAATTAATTGAATATGGTGGTTTACAGTTTACACAGCAGTTTTTCTTTAAAATAACCTGTCGGGTTGGGAACTTATGAATGCAGACGGAGCAAGATAGCTATGCACATTATTCCAAAAATGCTTTAAATATATTTATTTACCACCCTTAGTCATTCATCTATTTGAATATAAAGCTTTTGGCTTTAAATATTTTCATTAAGTATATCGAGTTATAACTTTTTAAAGCTTAGCTCCATCTGAACCAAAAATTTTTAGCTTTTAAATGTAAATGTTAGAAAATGAAAGGTCTCCACTTTTTTTAATTAGGTCGTTCAATAAATTTGCAAATACCTTTGTATAAACTTTTCAATTTGTTAAATGCATGTATGTCTTCACTATTTTCACCACCCTGTATGTAATGCTTAGGCTTTTTTAAAGAACATTCAATGTAATCAAAAGCGGATTTTTACCCATCCAAATATATTTATTATAAAAATTTGAACGGGACTTTAATCAAGTTTATTCTCTCTAGAAAGGAATTGAGTCTTTGCCATACAAACTTTGATTATCCGATCCATCTTTGCAACTATATTATATTAAATAATATGAATTGTTTTAGATCATATGAAAGTTTGAAATATCGAAGGTGAACTGATAGAACTGATATCGCAATCGGGATTTGAAAATTTAAGTATGTGGCAAAGTCTCAATTCCTTTACACAATGAGATTTAAAGAGATTCCTTACAAATCTTAGATAAATGGTCGCTTAAAAACAACGTTGAATGTTCCTTTAAACGAAGTATTGCAGAAAATCCTCAATCCCAGAGCTCTCCCCCCCTCCTTATACAGCTTTCATGCATCATATATCTGTTGTTGATCTTATGGGAATAATTCCAAAATCAAATCTAACCTTCTCATTTTTTATTTTTAAGATTTTTGTTTAAATTTTTTGAAAATTTTATTTGAATTTGGAAGTTTCTCTTTAAAAATGCATGCACGCCTTCTAGGTCTGAATCTTCATCAAACATTTTAAATATTTCAAACTGCAAAAGTGTAGGTACACAAATATTTCAAACTTTCTGTAAAGTATGGAACCCTTTTCTCCAGAAGCCTTGATTTTTAAAGAAGCATGAAATGAGTCTTTGAAACACACTCCGATTTTCTCATCCTTATATCTTTGCATTCCAATGTCGTCGACCTTAGATATTTCAAATTACGAATTCTGTTAGATTTGCTACTCGTCTGGTTGCAACGTTATAGGGATTCAAAAATGTTGGTTTGTGGCAAAAAATCAATTCATTAATATTGGTTTGTATCCGGGTTTTAAAAACTATCTTTAAACTTTATTCGATTTAAATTTTTTTACATCAAGAAATAAAAAAAATATCATGGTCCACACTATTTTGTTAAAACTTTGAAGACAAAATTTCTTGGAATTGTTCAGGAATTTTTGCCCCCACAAAGTTTCGTGTAAGCATGATTTTAGTTAGAATTCTTTTTTTCATACATTTCAAATCAAAGTGACCTAATTTTACTTAATTTAGAAAAAAATATTTACGTTATTCTTCAAGACAAATTTTTTTACAATACTCTCAAAATATACTTTTCATAATACTTCTAATAATACTTCTAATAATAGTTTTAATAATACTTCTAACAATACTTTTAATAATACTTTTAATTATACTTTTAATATTACTTCTAATAATACTTCTAATAATACTTTTAATGATACTTCTAATAATACTTTTAATGATACTTCTAATAATACTTTTAATAATACTTCATAATAATACTTTTAATATTACTTTTAATAATACTTCTAATAATACTTCTAATAATACTTTTAATATTACTTCTAATAATACTTTTAATATTACTTCTAATTATACTTCTAATAATACTTTTAATTATACTTTTAATTTTACTTCTAATAATACTTTTAATAATACTTTTAATAATACTTCTAACAATACTTTTAATAATACTTTTAATAATACTTCTAATAATACTTTTAATGATACTTCTAATAATACTTCTAATAATACTTTTAATAATACTTCTAATAATACTTCTAATAATACTTTTAATGATACTTCTAATAATACTTCTAATAATACTTTTAATGATACTTCTAATAATACTTTTAATAATACTTCTAACAATACTTCTAATAATACTTCTAATAATACTTCATAATAATACTTCTAATAATATTTTTAATAATACTTCTAACAATACTTCTAATAATACTTCTAATAATACTTCATAATAATACTTCTAATAATATTTTTATCAAAACTTTGATTAGATTAATACAATTACATAATTATTCCTTATCAGAACTTTATCCTCGTTTTACATTTTTATATTTTATAGTTTTGCTAAAAAATAATTAATTCTAAATATTTTTATTCAACAAAATGCATCTATACAAGGAGCTAGTGTAACATATTTTTTCTCTCATATTCTGACATTTTTGTGAAAAATATGTATTTTGGGATGTTCACCATTTTTTTAGGTTTAGTTTTGAACAATCTAGGTTTCAGTTTACTTTTATCAGGCTCTACAAATATCTAAGATGTTAATTTGTAAGTTTGCTAGAGTTGTACACACATGTAAACCAAAAAATGCAAACCCAATTTTTCCAATTGATTTTTATGAACGATTTAATTTTACGTATATGGCGTAAATTTAAAGACAGAGAAAATATTTCCACAAAGTATGATAAAGCAAACTTATTTTTTAAAAATGAACCCCAAAACTTTTATTATCAAGTGTATATGAAAAATTAATCAAGCATGGTGGCCTAGATCTTTTGTAAGATTTTTCATTATATTTTCATTTGCCTTCTACATTCAGTAAGACTCATAAAACTATTCAATAGGAAGACGACTGTTGGACAAAAGACATGATTTTGAATAGTTCAATGAACATGAAACAACATAAAATACACAAAAGTTTGTCTGAATGACGTCTTCCTATGCCACAGTTTCATGTAATCCAGTGTATTCTGGATAAGAAAAAAAAACTTTTAAAATACATTTGTATATTTCCAGGGCGCACCTAAACGTGGCGAAGTATCTACCTTTCCTTCAGAGCAAGGTCGTCTTGAACTTGAGAAGGAGCAGTACCATCCCACTGCAGAGAAGATGAAAGTTAAAAAGACGCGGCATAGAAGAAGCGGAAGCTACGGGTCGTCTTCCATCTTCACACCTAGGGACAGTCCGAGCTGGGAGAGAAAAGTAATTTTTTTTCATACAGGAACTCCTTACAATCATGCCACTTTAGTTGCTACTTCAAGTGTATTTTATATTAACCATCAGGGGCTGGGTTTTTTCCCCTAAAAATGTATGGCATTAAACTTAATTATAAATCATAATAAAAGACGATTACCAAATCATCACCTAATTCTCATTTTTATTGGGAAACCCTGCAGTACCATTTTATTTTATATTTTTTGTTTGTTTTAGAGTCTGAAAGATACAATTGACGCTGGTGTACAACAGTTTACAACATCAGAAACTCAAACTGAACTCTGTTTAATCCCTTTCGGATCCTCGGGACCCATGGACACTGATACTTCTCCTCTTACTCCTGGTCGTTCTTTAACCCTTGATCTAACTCATCGAACCTCAGGATACTTCTCAAGAGAACCTTCTTTTGAGCGGAGAACTCCAAGAGCCTCCAGAGAGTCAACTCCGTTGAACTCTAGACTCCGTGACTCCTCTCCCCTCTCCACTCCACGACAGAGCTCCTTGACCAGCTTTAATGGGAACCCTGGATGCAGCTGTCCAGGGTGCCCTGGAAACCCTGAAACTGAGAACCTGGAGGATCCTGAAGACTACCTGGATACTCTGGATCGTAAAGTTAGTGAGATCATGAACAAGGATTGCAGTAGACGATCTAGTTATCATGATCTTGGAAAGAAAGGGGAGGATATGTATAATGGACCTTTGTCTCTTTCTTATGGACGTAAACAAAGGTTACCTGACCTTAACCATAACTCTGGGTTTGGGTCAACCTACCTGGGAGCAGCTCCGGAGGGGGTTATAAGGTTCGAGGATGATGGGAAAGCCTCCAGCTCCGAAGGGTTGGACTCCAGTCAAGAAGATCTGTCACATGCTTGGTCTGATGAAGATAGTGATCAATATGTACTCAGGAGAAGAAGGTAAATCATTAAATAATACGAAATTGTCACCATTCAGTTTTACATGGATGCTTATTTTTGTTTTGATTTTTCAAAGGATATATGTAGGACGTTTACAGTTATGAATAGCAACAACTTAATGGAAAATTATATATCAAAATATAACAGGATCTGGACTTTTGATATGATAAAGTTTGTACATTTTGACAGGTGTAGCGCATATATACATATTATACAAGGAACATTAACAAAATTTGTGTTTAGCATCGCTCGCCGGCCTATCCGGGGTGTGAAGAGTCGAAGCTCTATAATCTCGATGGTATCTGTTAACTGTAGCAGTGAGGAAGGAGAAGCGTCTGAGTATCCTAGCAGCAGCCAGCGATCAACACTAGACAGTGTTCAGAGCAGCTCTTGCCGCTCACAAATAGAAAATTCACAGAGCAGGTTCCAGCGCTTACAAGAAAGCTCCTCCGACACGGTGCGCCCTGCATCTTTGAGCTGTGGCAGTAGCTTAGAGCAGGCCAGGGGACCACGAGACATTTTAGTGACATCTCATCTTGCACGGATGTCTCTTGACGGTCAATCTGACAGTGATAATGAGGTGACAGTAACATCTGAAGTATGAAAGATTGAATGAGGATGTTAACCTTGTTAGAATAGATATTATTGATCGAAATTGATCGAAAGTATAAATCTTGTTTCTTGATAGATATTTATGAGTACCTGATATAATCTTATAACTTATTTTTGTAAGACTGAACAGTATGCATTCCTAGCGGTATATGTGGGACAGCCGGGCATATTTACTGATTTCAAGCATTTAGTAATATATATTTCAATGTTTTATTTTTATAATTCAGGGTGTCCCACTGTAGTTAAGAACGACATGAATTACACATTGAAGCATTAATTTTTGGACCTAATTTTATGAAGTAATTCTTGAATCATTTATCATGGTCTTACCATTTTCAAAATGTGGTCTGCCGTTCTTATGCTTTTAAAATTACCTGAGCAATAAAGAATTGTTCAGATTTAAATTTATTGAATACAGACTAATTGTCTTTATGTCGTTTTTCAATAAACGTTCAGAGGGATGACTTGTTTTTTGAAGTCATGCTTAAAGTATAAAATTTAATCAAAATACAGTTGATTTATGAAACTTGGATTTTAAAAGTTTAAAAAGAAGCTTAAAATAATATTTAAAAAAAAGATAATATAAAAATGTACAATTATTGAAAAGTTACCAAACCTCTGTAAACAGTACTCAGAGGTTTAATCAATGTTATTAAATGAGTATAATCTTCTTATTAATAAACTTGTACAGTTTAACTCAGATCTTCGGAGGCATTGAAAGAATCTTTAAAATTTCCTTTTCTAAACCTACTAATAATGAAATGCTAAAATATATATATTTTTTAAATTGAATAGTTATATGGAGCTTTTTAAAACTATTCCCTCATAATTCATGGATGCCTCCGAGATTCTAAGATAATCTATACTAGATTAGAACCATAGATTAATTAAAATAACACTAGATGTTGTCTTTTAAAGATTTATGTGTGTTTCGTTTACAATAACCCTGAGGCAGAAGCCCAAAGGAGTTACGCGTAGTCTGCGTAGAACAAGACAGAGAGAGAGAGTGTTCTACGCCGACTACGTGTAACTCCTTCAAATCATTTTTTGTAAAAAGGTTTTGAGTCTTCAGCACCAACTCTGACTTTCTTATCAACATAACTTTGTAATTCATGTCGCAGACCTTAGATATTTCAAAATAAGAATTTTGTTAAATCAAATCAAGTAAGTCTAAAATATGAAAGGTTTATATCATCAGGTTGCAAAGATATATAGGTTAGAAAAGTTGAGTTTGTGGCAAAGACTGAATTCCTTTGATGTTGATATTTGATTACTGGGTTTCACTAACCAGTAATTAAACATAAACAAATTAAGTGAAAATGGTCTGTGTAGTGCGTACCGAACAATTGCCTTGAAATTCATCATGTTAGTTGGATTATTTAAAAAATTAACATTAGTATAACAGTCGTCTTTCTCTTCCACAGTTTTAAAGATCCCACTTTAGAAAAATGATGTACTGTGCTTTAATGGAATTATGCCGCCCGTTCTACTATATTATAGAACTAAAGTTAATAATTATTGTACAATATATGCTTACAAGTTACATGTAGACAACGTACACCAGTTAATAAAGATTAAATAATGAACGAAAATATTTATGAGAGATTACAGTGTGTCTCAGAGTTTTTTCTTTCTTTTTATTGTTTCTTTTTTTCTCAATAACGTTAAATTGATTGAGACGGTCATAACAAATTTTTTCTTTACAAATTTTTGAATTTTTAATCTAATAAATTGGATACAGTTGATACAGAAAAACTCCCTCCTTCTTCCTTTTTTCTTTTTCTTCTGTTGACTATCCCTGATTCTGATAATTTTGAAAGAAAATAAAAATTTGTTGAAGCAGAGTATTTATGGGGACACTCTGCTTAATTGTAGTTGTAGTTTTGTAGTTTTCAGTTTGTATTGCCTATCCAGGAATGTCCAACGGGAAAAATTGATGGTGTAGAGCTTATCATCAGAGAGTTCCCTACCACTTTTCCTGTTCAATTTTATTTTTTCTTCTTGTTTTCTTTTAGGTTTCTGCAATTTTACTTCGAGTTCCATGTCCAAATCCTGGTCACGCCTAGTGGTCTTAAAAGTGGAGCCCATAACATTTTTCCACAAAGAAATCAATTCCAAATGCTGTTTGTGACAAATAGAGGAGTTGGAAATTTGAAGTGGGTAGGAAGGGAGGGTATCAAGGGACTCCCATAAAGGAACCCTACTTTTCTCCTGGATTTTTACTCTTTCCGAGTTCTTCGGCACTTTGGGTTACCCATTGGAGTTGCACCACATGTACATAAATGGGGACCTATTGTACTTCAGAATACTGCCTCGTCTACTGCAATCTTTTCCTTGCAGCCAGCAGAGTATAAACAGGTATCATAGTGCATGGTGCACAACCTATCATGATTCTACTTTCTATTTTTCCATTTTCCTTGTTTCTGGCAAGAGGGAGGGGGAAGAGAAACATAGAGAAACCTCTCATTCTCTGGAATATTATTTTCTTTTTTTTCCAAGTAGGGTGTACTGCCATGCTTTATTCCAAACAGGGTTCTGCTTAACCGAAATAAACTAAGAGAGTTGTATAAGAACCTGACTGTGCTGAAGCTCTTGGGCAACTTAAACAATGCTAACTGCAAACAAAATCATAAAAATCTGCGAAATATCTTTCATTTAAGTTTTAGTCTTTTAAATTTGATGCAAAAAAATGGATCAAAAAAGTTAAGTAATGTGTTTTTTCCACAAGTTTGTCCTATAATGTTACTGTAATGAAGAGATAGATTAACCATAATGTTGGTTCATGAAAGCAGCTTAAATTTAAAGATCCATAGTAGCGTATAGAAGGACTACTGATGGACATCGTTTTGAGATCCGTTTTTAAACATTTTCATGGTTATTTTATTTTTAAGAGGCCCGACAACAAATTGAGATATTTTTCCCATTACAAAATTGCATGTTCGATAGTTTTGCTTTTTAAGCATTATGTAAAATATGAACAAATATGATAATTTAAAATTATTGGTAAAATCGTTTAATTTTTTTTTACAAATTAATATCTTTGGTCACAGAAAAACATTAATTCCTATAATGAAAAAACTTTTAAAAAATCGAATTTCGCTATATTGAACATCACAGTTTTTTATCGCCTTTAACGCCGAAAGTTAGGGAATGCGTAAAAACGGAACTTAAAACTCATTCTTAATAAGGACATTTCAAGCTCTTTTCACCACCAACTGAAGGGTTAAGGTTCGTGCATTAAAGAAATTTGTGACAATTCACGATAAACTAAAGTATATTTTACGTCAAATTGCAAACTTATGTGTTTTCTTCTTGAAGAGCATTTGACAAGATAGATTTTAATTTATATTATGTAACAGGATAAATTTGCTCTCACAAACTTGTGAGTAAAATTTAAACCATGGAATCTTCGAGGTCACAAGGTCGTACCAGGATTGTCGCATAGATTTGATCTTCTCCTTCTGTCTTGTTTGCAGTGAACTAATTCATAAACCACGGGTACATATTGGTACATATTGAACCTGTAACTTGAAGAATCTATAAGCGTAATTTCAAGTGATATTCCATTCAAAGAGAGGAATGCCATAAAGTTTTAAGGAACTGATCGGACTTTTCCTTCTTTGCATGGAGGGTCACTTGAAACTACGCTCACAGTCCATTTAACCTACTTATTTGATCGCTGGTTATGTCGGAAAAGAACAAATATCGATTTAGGGCAAACATCGAGTAGATTTAGGGCAAGGATCGAGTAGATTTAGGGCAAGGATGGAGTAGTTTTAGGGCAAGGATCGAGTAGATTTAGGGCAAGGATGGAGTAGTTTTAGGGCAAGGATCGAGTAGATTTAGGTCAATGATTGAGAAGATTAAGGGCAGGGATCGAGTAGATTTTTGGCAAGGATCGAGTAGATTTTTGGTAAGGATCGAGTAGATTTAGGGCAATGATTGAGTAGATTTAGTGCAAGGATCGAGTAGATTTGAGACAGGATCGAGTAGATTTAGGTCAATGATTGAGAAGATTAAGGGCAGGGATCGAGTAGATTTAGGGCAAGTATCGAGTAGATTTAGGGCAAGGATCGAGTAGATTTAGGGCAAGGATCGAGTAGATTTAGGGCAAGGATCGAGTAGATTTAGGGCAAGGATCGAGTAGATTTGAGACAGGATCGAGTAGATTTAGGGCAAGGATTTAGGGCAAGGATAGAGTAGATGGGCAAGGATCGAGTAGATTTAGGGCAAGGATCGAGTAGATTTGAGACAGGATCGAGTAGATTTAGGGCAAGGATTTAGGGCAAGGATAGAGTAGATTTAGGGCTAGGATCGAGTAGATTTGAGACAGGATCGAGTAGATTTAGGTCAAGGATTTAGTAATTTAGGGCAAGGATCATAGATAAAGATAGATTGCGCATAAGACGACATTTTTCATCTTGAAAGATATAAATGTACAGAGATGTTTTAAAGACATTCCAATTATATAGATTACCTAGGTCGGTTGTGAACATTGGCTGTTCTTATGTCATTGAGTACTTGTGGTGTAAATGAGTTCTGTAGAGAGAAATTTAAGTTAGTTTAGTCCTTCTCATGTCCTTCTTCAGTTCTTGTCAATATGATATATTGCTCAGTGAAATATTGTTGTTCAAATAGTTCATTCCCGGAGTTATTTTAAACTCTATTATGAAATCCATTGAAACACCAAACCACCCCGCTTATCATTAAAATACACTTTGACCCCTAGAAGTATGAGTTCGCGGACTGTACAATTCTTGGTGATTTTGCGTACATAAGCTATCTATGTTTATTTATCTATCTATGGCAAGGATTGAATAGATTTGGGGCGAGAATTGAGTAGATTTAGGGCAAGGATTTAGTGGATTCAAATTTTACAAATTATAATCTTCTAGGTTATAAAATAACATTTTCCAATCAAAGTCAACTTAAAAATATTTATATTTATATTTAAATAAGACGTTTACAAATTTAAGATGATAAAATTGTGTTTATGGGGTAGAACTTCTAGGTTTGTTAAACGACTTAATTTCGAATGAAGCATATACCGTTAATTAAGGTTAATTGCTAGGTTTATTTACGGAAATTATAGAGTTTTTCATCTTACAATTATGGTTCCTTGGACCTTAAACTTTATCTAGTATACATCTTGAAATGATTATATTGTAAGCAGAAGACCAAATAAACTTTAAATCGTTTTAGTTCAAGATTTTTAGATCGTCATATCGTCATTAGTCTCATCCCTTATGTTCAACCCTTTACATGTTGTTCATTGTTCATCCATATACTATTAACAGCTGGATGTATAGAATATTTGAACAGTATATGTTCAAAATATCAGCTGGTGCCTTGGATATCTGAACAGTATAGGTTCAGGATATCAGCTGAATTCTTGGATATCTGAAAAGTATAGGTTCAGGATATTAGCTGGAGCATTGGATATCTCAACAGCAAACGTTCAGGATATCAATTGGATCCGTGGATATCTGAACAGAAAAGGTTGAGGATATCAGCTGGTTCCTGGGATATCTGAATTCGTCTGCTGAAGTTGATATCCTTACAAATCCTCAGATCACTGATTAAACCCCGCATTTCTTCAGTCTAAAAATTAAAGATTTTATTTTTTAACAAATGAAGTAATATTAATAGCATCAGGGCCGAAATTTTTTTTAAGCTCTAGCTTAAGCGAATAAACTCGATATTAACTAAGTTTACTTTTAAATTGATGGGGATAAACCGGATGAACCCTTAAATCAGGGAAAAGAAGCAATATCCTTCTCCCCTAAAAAACTTAATTAACCAAAATAAAAAGGTTTCAAACGTATACAGTTATACCGTCGAGAGGGAGAAGAAAACCTTTTAAACGATGAAGTCAAAGGTTTGAGATACAAAATTTCGCCCTTTTGATTTACTTCTAATATATCGATTTTTTACAGAATTTACGCTGTTGTCTTTGATTTCAAAATCGTTGTATGACAGGTACAGGGTGTCACAATAAACATGGAAATTCAGTGACGAATTCGATATCGTCTTTTCAAATAATTCTTTGATGTAGTATGGTGATATATACTGAGAAAGCTGTTATCCGTAAGATTTTCGTCTGCTATATTCACAATTTGCTTGTCTATGTTTTGACTGCACAAGGGTCTACTTTGTAAAACAAGAAAATTACAGTTTACAAACAGAGTAAACTTGTCCGTCTTCACTGTTTATCTTGAAAAGCCGTTATGGACAAATCGTTACAGCCATTTACCGTTTTCATAAAATAAACTCTAACAAACATAATAATATTATGTCTTTTAAAATCAGGTATTACAAATGCTAATTTATAACAAAGAGGATAACGAATTCGTCACTGAATTCCCGTGTTTATTGGGACACCCTGTACATTACCTTTTCAGCACCCTCTCTGCTTCCATATTTAGACCTAAGATACCTGAAAATGATTTATATTATTTAAACTAGAAAATGGTCCAAATTAGTTTTTATTACAATTTGTATTATCTTACATTGAAAACAAGAAAACTTTGAACAATACTCGAATAAATGTATTTGATGTTGTTACAAAGCAATTAGTTCTACTAGTAACTTATAAAATCATTTGTATTTTTAAACTGCACAGTTATTGCTGTGTCTTATGTTCATTGAACTATTTAAAATCATAACTTTAGTCTAAAAGTTGTCAGACTATTTCAGAGCTTTCTGGCTCCCACTGAATGTTTTTTAGAATCCTTCAAAAAGCAAGCAATTTAAATTTACTGAAAAAATGGCAGTGTAACTCCTCAAAATTATAAATATATGTGAACACTGACCATGCGGATTTTTGATAAATTTTGAAGATCCGAAAGGCTCCGGAAAGTTTTAACATGTGCATAGCTCGTGAATTGTGTAGCAACATGGTTTTTTTTAAAAGGAACCTATGTCTTTGCCCCAAACTCTGATTTTCTAATCCATCTTAGCAACGCAATATGTATACTTCAAACTATAACTCTGTTAAATCAAATAATCTAAGGAACCTATATCTTTGCCCCAAACTCTGATTTTCTAATCCATACTAGCAACGCAATATGTATACTTCAAACTATAACTCTGTTAAATCAAATATCTTTGCCCCAAACTCTGATTTTCTAATCCATACTAGCAACGCAATATGTATACTTCAAACTATAACTCTGTTAAATCAAATAATCTAAGTTTGAAATATGAAAGGTCTAGATCGTCAGGTTGTGAAGACATTGGGATTCAAAAATTTTGGTTTGTGGCAAAGACTCATGTCCTTTCTGAAAAATAAAACCACATCCAAATTAAATTTTTGTTTCGTTTTTCAGAACAATGTCACATTTTTTCAAGCTAAGCTATCAACTACCACAAAAATACTATTTCATACTTTTCAAAGCTTAAAAGCGGAAAGATGATAAATAGGGAAAAATATAACACATTCTCATTTGATTTTTATTTATAATACTGATACCTGTAGATTAGACAAGTAATCTCATTTCTTTTTGCCATTAGAACCTTGTCCTGTAGCACCTCAATGTCGATCTCCACCTCGGGGGTCAAGTATATCAGTATACCTGGTCAAATCAAATATTTAAATAAAATCAATAAATTTCAAGACTAATGAGAATTTTCCAACAGATGAATCATTTGTTTCATGGAATTAGAACGTAATCACACTAAATCATGAGTGTTCACAGTGAATATCGAGTTAAGGTGGCATTATCCAACACAAAAATGTTATCTTTGGTAAAAATAAATTGAATAAGTTTACCGTATAACGTTGAGAGAAGCCTATCCTTTCCGGTCATTGACCCAGCTTTGACCATCGTGTTTTTGAACATCTAAAATATACATATAGAGTGTGTAAATGATTGCAGACAAAAATCGTATGGCATTTTCACAATGTGCCTCAATTTTGTCATCCCTCTTAAAGGGACTGTAAAGGAAAGATGAAAGGGGGTATAGGCAGAAACCAATAAGCAGTTTAGGATTTGATCGAGACCCATGCAAGTTCTATCTGGTGTTTCTGTCCCGAGAAATTGATATAAAACTGTGTCAAGTTTTTACGAAAATCTATCCATATAAAATGTTGAATAAAAATAGTAGGTATAGACGGATCATATTCAGCAAATACACAACAAATCTGAATACAACGATATCCCAGAGGAGCCTAAGAAACTTAGGTCTGCTTCTATTATTATTTAAATTAAAAAAATTTCATTTATAAAAGTTATAACTGATATAGATTTTTGGATAAATTTGACACAGTTTTTTTTATCAATTTCTCGAGACAGGAACATCAGAAAGAACTCTCAGTCCCTTTAAATTACATCCTGGTTACAACGCTTGGCTTAGGATCAGCGTAAGATTATCAGTGAAAAAAAGTTGGTGATCTTAACCTCAACTTAAAAATTACCATCAAAATCAAATTGAACAAAATGTTAGTAAATCACAAAAAAAAATTAAATACCTCTTCATCTTCTGCAGAGGACGCCCAGGGAGAAGTGAAAACATCCCAATCTTCCATCTTCAAACTTTTCACAGCTGCAGGATTGTTTGGAAACAGTTTGTCATAAATAACCTTTAAAGGGACTGTTAGCGTTATTTCAAGTGACTCTTTACGCAATAAATGGCAATGCCCGATTTACAACGGTGCCGATGAAACTTTTTCTGGTCAATAATCTGGAAGAGAGTGTTGATTTTCTAGGTTAAAAGTGTTTTATCTATATACATACTTTGCTTGTCTAAGTGTCTGTTTCTTTGTTTGTTTGCATCCAATAAACGTCAAAACGGCTAAACCGATTGGGACCAATTTTTTGTGGGACCTCAGGGAAGGTTTATGGATGGTCAAAACCTTAAAAATTTGCCTCCATCAGAATTCGATTTCATGAAATTTTGTAAGTCCACGAAAAGATATTTCAAAATCCGCGAACTTTTTTGTTTGTATATTGTTTAAGATTGTAGACAAAAAGAAAATATTCCTAATTGAAATGGAAGTCTAGTTCTGATAATTCTTAAAGGTTTTCCTGCAGTAGGAATGCGCTCTTTAGGGCAACATTGTAAATCTAGCATTGCCATCTTTCCATGAAAGGTTACTTGAAATACGCCTACAAACTTTCAATAGATAAAACGTAGATATTTCTTTCAACAAACTATCTTAGGTATGTACTAGCTTGGGAACCCAGCTTTGCCTGGAAACAATATTTTCTATTTAAGAGTTAACCTATTCGACTAAGAACTTTTAAACCTATCCATGAACATTTCCGTGGTTCTTCCGTAATCAAAATATGAGCCGAATCGGTTATTGGGTTTCTGAGTTATGATCGGACATACAGGCAAACAAACAAAGATTACTACTTTATATATATATAGATAGTAATTTTTTTTAAATTGCGTATTTAAAATCATGTGAATCTGTAATGTCTGTACCTGTAATTCTTGGCTCCAAAACCCAGCCTTTGATTCTTGTTCAATCAAATTCTCCGAGTCTACATTTGCCCAGCAGAGAGCCCATGAATATGTAGACCAGGTTTTAGTGTTCTCCACCTTGATTTTGTCCCAAATATGAGAAGGTAGCTCAGATATTTCATCAAATAACTCGGCACTCTTCACATGATTTTTCACAGCAGAAAATGTCCAAGTTGACCAATCCTCAGGTTTAGTTACAACACGGTTCCAACCAAAGGCACTAAGAAATATGTTTGTTTTAAAACTTTCAAAATTTGGGACGGTTTCCTTCATACTTTTTATGTAGCTTTTCCAGGTGAGGTCTCTTCTAAAACTGATGTCAAATATTCTAAACTCCTCTTCTAAAGTCAAATCAAATATAGGAATTTTGCTTGCATCTATAAACCTTGATTTGGGATATCTTTCTGTGTGCTTTCGCTTCTTAAAAGGAATAGCAGAAATACATGCTCTTGATGTTGACATCACTCCGTCCTCAGAACTATCACTGTAATCCTCAACCTCACTTTCATCCTCAACTACTTCAGAATAATCATCAAGCTTGTCATCCATGCTATTTTGGAAGGTGTCTTCAACAGCGCTAATAAGAATGTCTAAACTAGAGTCTTCAAGTATTTCCTTATGATTCTGTGTAGGCAGAAATTCAATGTCTTGAGTTTCATTATTCAGATGAGTATTAATATCGTCTGGGGAACATAAAGTTGATTTTTGTTGTTGAAAATGACTAGCGTTTATTTCGTTGGGATTGAAGCATTGTCCTACTTCAGTATTTTGCATTGAAGAATCTATTAATCTGCAGTTACAGGAGGATAATTCTGGCACAGCCACGTTCACCAGTTCTTGTCTTGCATTTCTGAAATATGAGGACTTCGGTGTTTGTGTCTGTTGCAAGTTTCTGTGATGTGATTGTTGTATGTCTGTATAATATCTGTTAGAATCAATAAAGGCAAGATTTCTGGACTGAATCATTCTTGTTTGTGGAATCCATGTTGTTTTCCTACCAGAGAAAAATGGAGCGTGAACCATGTTTTGTCGAAAAGTTTTTTTGAATCTCATATCTCTGTCTGAATTAACAAACTTATAGCGTTCTCCATGATTGGATACTTGAAAAGGATTGATTTTCTTTAAGTTTGATTTATATTTGTTTAAAACAAGTGGATATGGTCTAGGAAAAGTTGATTGGTTTTGGTAAGCTTTACCGGAGGACTGCTCGTGGTAAATTTTACCGGAGGACTGCTCGTTGTAAACTTTACTGGAGGACTGCTCGTGGTAAACTTTACCGGGGGACTTCTCGTGGCAAACTTTACCGGAGGACTGCTCATGGTAAACTTTACCGGAGGACTGCTCGTGTTTGTTCGGCTGGAAAGTGCACAAAGAGATGTTACAGTGTTCCAGGGCCTGCTCAATTTGTTTCTTTTGTTCTGTCAGAAGGGAAACTTGATGATACAAATCCAGCTGAGTCCTGGAAAATAAGAAAACAATGTTGCTTCAATTTTTCTGCTTTTTTATCAAATAAATACCTTGACATTTTCGAGCTTTGGATGAAGATTCCTAGAAAATCTTATAGTTTATATAAATTGATATATCAATGGCAAAATGGCTGTATTTATAGCGATAGCAAGTGATTGACAAGCAATCAAATATTTTCATTTTTTTTCATGCAAAATTACTTCCAGGTTTATTAAAAAAAAATTCAAAATCTTCAATGTCTTTTTTAATGCTAAAATTTTGTTTACCTTTTTCAGCATTAAATTGGTTTCCAGAGTTATTAAACATTGTTATTGGTTTAGGAAATGACGCTGGAGAATTTGATGACAATAAGAATTTAGAGTTTGAGGGTTGAATGTTTGGATGAGGAATTTCTTGAGGAATTGCTGTGTCCAAAGGTAAGTATGCAGTTTGTACACTTCCAGTTTTGTTTGAAGTAAACGCTTGATGCTGAAATACTTCTTGGGGTGGAAAATGTAATTTCTGAGTTGGGAATCCGTCTGGTTGAGGAGTAATGGGAAATTCTGGATTGATTCTATGCATCCAAACAGGGTGATGGGACATAGTCTTCTCATCTTCCTACAAAATAAGATTTATAGACGGCCACTGTACACTTGCATATTATAAATTATCTTTTATATAACACAAATTTTATAATAGACACAAAAAGAAATTTTTAGCACATGACAATCCATCCAGTTTTTCTTTTCATTTTGAAAACTAATCGTGCTATCTGAAAATAAAGCAATTTACTGACATAACCTCTTCATAATATGATCAGGAATATCATAATATGGTTAAAAATTGCACCATGCTGGAGACACCTGATGGAAAAAGTAAATGTATTGTACACCTTCAATTTCTTTCTTGCTGTAGCATCAACAAGATTTGGTTGCATTCCTGCCTTCAAACAACTATCATATCTGCACTTCTTACACAGTGTTCTAGTCTAAACAATTGTTTGAGTTTAAATACATTTTTTATTTAAAGGGACTGTAAACGTAATTTTAAATAACCCTTTACGCAAAGATGACATTGCCGGCATGAAACCTAAATCTGATCAAAATTTTGAAGATAACATCGATTTCCGGGATCCTAAAGTTTAAAGTTGATAAATTTTCCGTTTTTTTATTTTAAGCAAGATTTGTGCAAGTCGCTTTTACAAAGAGAAACAACAAATTAAAATAAACGTTAAAAAAACATGATCACTTGATCTATCAAAGCTTTAAAGTGTACCATCGTAAATCAGATGTTCCCATCTTAGCATGGAGTTACGGATACAGTCCATTAAATATTTATTTTAATTGAATTGTACCTTGGTTGTAATTTTGCACTTGTTAGCATGCAAGCAGGTGATCCTATTCCTCGTGTTAACAACTCTACGGAAGAAAGCCCTGAAAACAACTATGTTATTAACAGAAGAAAAGGTTAATATTTTCCTCTTTAATTTAGTGTATTAATAGAAAATGCCTCTTTTTTGTAAACTCACTTTAAAAACATTTAAAAATACATGTGGAACTATAGAAAGGACCAAACTTGTTTGTGTATCTATTGCAAATAGGAAAAATTAGAAAATAAAATCGTTTAAAGTACAAATTCTACCTTTAGCTGGTTGCAAAGTGCTTAACATTGGAATATATCAAACAACTGCCCTGTAATAGAATATCTGCAGGAGTAGCAGGGAAAAAGCTCCAAAATTAAGTCCCTATAAGAGCAGCAGTAAACTGCTATATTAAGAAGTGCCTGCAAAAAGAGCAGATAACAGCTCTATAATAGAGTACTTTCAAGTGTACCTGCAAAAAACTTCCTAATTAAGTACCTGGAAGAGTAGCAGCTAACTATTCCGTAATAGAGTACTTGCAAGAGCAGCATCAAACTGATACGTAATAGAGTACCTTATACAAGAGTAGCAGTATATGGCACCATAATGGAGTTCAGTAAGAGTAGCAGCAAAGAGCTCCATAATAGAGTACCTGCAAGAGTAGCAGCAAACAGCTCCATAATCGAGTACCACCAAGAGGAGCAGAAAATAGAAAACAGAAAACTTATCCTTAATAGAGTACCTGCAAAAGGAGCAGTTGACTGCTCCATAATAGAGTACTTGCAAGAGTAGCAGCAAACAGCTTCATAATGAAGTACCTGCAAGAGTAGCATCTAACTGCTCAGTAATGAAGTACCTACAAGAGTAGCAGCAAACTGCTCCATAGTGAAGTACCTGCAAGAGTAGTAGCAAACATCTCCATAATGGAGTACCTGCAAGAGTAGCAGCAAACTGTTCCATAATGGAGTACCTGCAAGAGTAGCAGCAAACTGTTCCATAATGGAGTACCTGCAAGAGTAGCAGCAAACATCTCCATAATGGAGTACCTGTAAGAGTAGCAGCAAACTGTTCCATAATGGAGTACCTGCAAGAGTAGCAGCAAACATCTCCATAATGGAGTACCTGCAAGAGTAGCAGCCAACTGCTCCGTAATGAAGTACCTGCAAGAGTAGCAGCAAACTGCTCCATAATGAATATGATGATGAGCTATATCTCCACATACAGTGCAAGTCCCTGTCAATATAGCTGGGAGTTGACTGTACATTATCTGAAATTACTCTTCTGATACCATTTACTTAAACCTTTTTCGGGCATATCATTGAATATAATCTATCCTTATCCTTCCGGTGTAAGATAAATTTCTTGGAGACAAAATTGTCCATTTTCTATTTTTATTTTCTCAAAGGATGAGAGTTTAGAAACGACTGTACAGAATTTATACTGTCTGTTTCCTTAAATTCAGGTTTCCCAGTAACTATATAAACTTCTTTTTTATTTGCAAAATCATTGAATAAGTCATTTAAAGACCTAATTTAAGGCAGAAGACTTAATTTAAACTTGAGATCGTATTTGTTGAGGAGTTTTACGTCGTCTTCTCAGCATCTTGTTGTGAGGATAACCCTGTCGTTTTAAATAGTATTGTGATGACAATCAATATCGGAGTAATTAAGAACGTTTTCATTTTGTCTGTGTCTTCCTTTCTGCAGACTACACTAGACTGTAATGTGCATATAAATTTTAAAAAAATCTAGTTTTTTTTCAGCGGCAGATATATCTAGTTTTACTTTATAATAAAGGGGGTAGTAAAAATTAAACAATTCATAGAAAAGAAAGGGTTTTTTCAAAACTCTAGAATTATTTGTGAATAATGTATTAAGTAATTTGTTAAAAAAAAAACTTTAAAAATAAATTTTTTTGTAAAATTAATGCTGAACGTGAGATATATTTAATTGTTTGAAGAATAATATATTCTAATCGTGTAAAATATCCTCTTCACATCATAACAGAAGTATTTTATTCAGAATACATTCCACATCATTTGAATAAAAAGAATTGAAAGGGGCAAACTTAGCGAAATAATTGGCACATTTCAAATAATTTGTTGCATGGATAAAGAAATTGATTCTTTGTCACAAACTCTGCTTTTTTAAATTCCTATATCTTTGCAATCCAATTTCGCAGGCCTTAGACATTTTAAACTATAAATTCTGCCAGATCAAATAATCTAAGTTTGTAATATCGGGTTCCAAAGATATAGGGATTAGAAAATTTTTTTGGAGACTTTGTTTATCTGAGAATTTGATTTAAGAACATATACAGGGTTACCCACACAAGATGCGACTGTAAAGACGACCTTAAACTCTTTGAATTTGACGATTCTATGGTTAAATTTAATATTGAATATAAACTTGTTATGGCTTATTCAATGATTAGGGGGGAAGAAGTTAATAGTTCATCATAAATAAAAGGAAACAGACAATATGAATTTTGTACAATCGTCTTTGAAGACTCATCTTTTCTTCGTAAACCTGTAACACTCATTACTCAGAATTCAGAGGGCTAAAACATGTAAAGTAGTTTTTATATACAGTCATGGCCAGAAAGACCCGGAACTAATGTACAGTAAATCAACCAAACCTTTACATATATTCAGGGTGTCCCACGAAACATGACTGTTGCTGAATATTTTAAAATGTCTTCTTCCATAATTTGTTAAGTTGTTTGATACCAAAGAAAATAATAAGAAACATTATACGGCAGTTTTATTAAAGTAAAATCGATCCCAGATTAAGATTTATTGGAGTAAAAGATTTTTCTACTGAACTAAACTGCAAAAAGTCTTTAAATCTAATCCAGTATTTGGAAGACGACATTCTAAACTATTCATCAACTGTCATGTATCGTGGGACACTCTGTATCTTTGGTATTTTTAAACGCATAATAAAGGCAGACCACATTTTGGAATTGTCAGGACCAGGTTTATTTTGTTATTATCGCTTCATTAATAATATTTTTAAAATTAGATTGTAAAATCACCTGAGCTGAAAACTTTAGAATGAAATATCCTTTATCCCGATCGGCTAACTAATCTGAAGATTAATAACAAGAGGCGAACAAGCATTATTCAATCTGGATATTTTAAAAAAGAGGAGATCAAGCATTAATCTCGATATCCACCATTCTAAAGTTTTCAGCTCTGATTATTTTCATTTAAGTTTTATTTGGGAACGTGAAATATTTTTGCAAATGCAAGTATACTGGAAAAACCAGTTAAAAAATTTTTGTTTATAAATCAGTTTCATGTTTTTTCACACTTTTCACATCTGTTTTTCGAACTTTCATGACACTTTAAATTTATTCTAGTTTTAATTTCGTCAATCACCTAAATAAAGCTTAAATTGACACCTGTAATGTACACTACATTCAGAAGGCGAATTTTATATTAGCATTAAGAGTTACGACGCTGAAAACTGGTTTATTTATTGTATAAACAATATATTAAAAAAAATTAAATTCCTAAATGATATTGAGATTAGAATTTTAAATATAGTTCACGATATCAAAAGTTTGAAAAGGAATCAAAATACAAGAATTAAATCTTTTTTTGTCAATGATATTTATATTAATTTACACAGTATTTTGCTACAAAGTTTTGCAGGGTTGCATTTGTTTTGTTCATGTTTGTACTGTACTACTGCAGACTGTTTATCAAATATCAACTACATCTGTTAAATTGTATCAAAATATTTTTAGTTCATTTAAAATGTGGAAACTTATTTTCTGTATTATTATTGTGGTTTCTATGCTTCATATTTCAAAAGCAAATTTATTTGGTAAGCCTAAATTTTCTTAAAACTACTTTCAATTTAAAGAAAAGTCATTTTTAAACTTAGTTTTTTAATACTTTTAATTTCTAATCAATTTTCCATAGTTAACGAAGCATCAAATACGCAAGTCACTTTTGTAGAGAGACACAAATGAAATGAAAATAAAAATTTTAAGTTTTCAAAAACATATTTTTAGTTTATGTCTCTTTAATCGTAGCTAATTAGAAAATTTTCTTGTGTTACCCATATCAGAAAAAAAGACGGCTGTTCGAACATTCACATTGTTCCTTGCAGCTTTAAACGTTTTGCCAAATCATGTGGTATTTTTTTGACAACATTTTAATGGCAAAAATCTATAATGAACTCTCAGATCATTTCATTCAAAGAGTTTAACGCTCTGTCATTAAAATCTCATAATATGCGATTTCGCAAACAAGCTTGGATTTATGATTATAATTGAAGTGTTACTCACGTCCTTTGTGGTAACACTGGATTGCAGTTTAGAAGCTTTGATTCATTATAACTTTTTACAATTACGTTAATGGAATTTTACTTTACCAAGGGTTTACAAGACCAATTTTGTCTACAAAACATCCCGAACGCAGCGAGGGATGTTTTTTAGACAAAATTGTGCGAGGGAACTGGTTAAATAAAATTTTCAATTTCCCGAAAATGTAGCTAAGTACACAATTTTATCGTCTTTTAAGATGAAAATACGCGAATTTTTTGCCCGCAAACTTCGCAGAGCGGGTGGTTTCGTTAAGTTATTTAACCTCATGCACTCTTTTGGGGGAATCATATGTCGGAAATGTTAGTCAGAAGGCGGTAAAATATATTATTTAAAATCCTACAGGGTTACCTACAAAGGATGGGACTTTTAGGTCTATTTATTGTTTTCAGTCTTATATATTGTTTTCCATTTTATTTATTGGTTTCTGTCTTATATATTGTTTTCTATCTTATTTATTGTTTTCAGTCTTATATATTGTTTTCTATCTTATTTATTGTTTTCAGTCTTATATATTGTTTTCTATCTTATTTATTGTTTTCTGTCTTAGTAATTGTTTTCTATCTTTGTTATTGTATTCTGTCTTGTTATCGTTTTCTGTCTTATTTATTGTATTCTGTTTGTTTATTGTTTTTGTCTCATTTATTGTTTTAGGGCTTATTTATCGTTTTCTGTCGTATTTATTGTTTTCTGTCTTGTTTATTGTTTTCTGTCTTGGTAATTGTTTTATGTTTATTAAATATTCCTAGATGGTAAATTTAATGTATTGGCAAAGAAACTAGTTCATAGGTGCACGGAACCTCAAATGTAAGAAAAAGCTGAATAAATTCCTACAGAGATACAGACGCGAGACGTCTCTGAAGTTTAATCCCTTGTGAGAAACCCACTACATTCTCTTGTTTATTTAGAAAGTTTACTGAACTGGTTTGATGATGATAATTATGATTCTGAGATGAATAGTTCCGGAAGCGGAGAGAAGGAAATAAATGGAACTCTAGACGTGGAAGACGACTTTAATGTTGTGTATACGGATGAGGGAGCCGGTGATTACGAAGACGACATATATAATGAAAAACAAGAATTTTAGAATAAATTTATTGAATCCTTCTTCAATCTCTGAAAAAAACTTACTGAACCTGGTTGCACGGTGTAATGATTAATTTGGTGCAAATAGATTATCAAGTACAATAGGTGGCAACCGAGAAATGGACCAATTATACACGGCGTCAAAAGTGTCAAATATAAAAAGAAAACCGAAATTTGACATGTTTTCCAAGATTAAATAAAAAGTGTGAAAACAGATAATATTGAAAACATAAAATTGCACTTATTTTACTGTAAGATTAGCACTTTAGTCTAAAATTATCACTATTATTAATAATTTGTCGGACACAAAACGAAGTTGACACTTATGACGTAAGAATACAGCTGTACTGAGAGTGTTCAAATTCTACGTTGCCATCTATTATACTAGAATCGATTTGATTTGGTGTAAACTACCTTCAGCTTATCTTCTATCTTGCATGGCAAAATGATTTAGTATTTATGAAAATGACCTGACTTTTCCCCACAAACTCATTTTTTTCTAATTCCTATAATTTTGCGTTTGCAACCTGATGGTTTAAACCTTTGATATTTCAAACTTATATTATTTAATAAAACAGTGGCCGAATTTAAAGAATTTGAGCGGCGGTTTAAATTTAAGCCGCGGTTTAAATATGGTTGGTTCCACTTAAAATTGTATCAAATGTTTCAAGATTCAAGCCGGCGCTTCATTTAAGCCGGGTTTTGGCGGATTTAAACCGCGGCTTAAATTCTTTAAATTCCATCTCTAAATTCATAGTTTGAAACATCTAAGGTCTACGCAATTTGATAAGGATTGAGTTTGTGGCAAAAGCTCAGTTCCTTTGTACCTTAAAGTCAAAACGCACAAAGATATAGAGATAACTTTTTAAATTACATTTTTTAATGAAATATAAAAATATGTAGTTTTTGTAATTTTAAATATAAAAAGTTGACAACATTTTTACGTGCTCATATGAAGTTCAACATTTTTGAAAATGACTTTTCTTTTATTTTTTATCTTTGTTTTCAGAATCTGACTATTTTTATTAATCTTGATTAAACCGATAATAGTCTCAACTAATCGGGCCCAATTTTTTTTGGGACCTCAAATGGAAGGTTTTATTGAAGAGAAAATGCTCAAAGATTGAGCATTAATTAAAAGGTGAGCTAGAAGATGTGCGCGAAGCGCCCTGACAGCTTAGTCCAACAATAAGAGAAACTTATGTTTATTTATTTGATAAAATTACAAACTGTATACGTGTATGTTTAGCTATATAGCTACACATGTAACCACCAAATATGTACTTTACAAAGTTGTTAATTTAACAGCTGTTTTTGAAAAAATGTAAGGATTAACTAGGTCAGGACACCGATTATATTGAATAAATTTTAGCTAATCTTTTTGAATTTGTTTCAATTTTGCGTAATTTTCTTGCATTAAGCAAGTTTTGAATATAGAGGAACCAAAAAAACCGTGGGTAGGAAGACGACTGTTAAATAGTCCAATGAACAAGAAACACAGCAATTGTGCAGTCTTTCAAGCTATAATGGTAAAACTATTTGCTTTTTAAGAACAAACTATTTATTAATTATCGTCTTCAGTTGTAAGGGTCTAAATGTATAATATTTTACTATTATGCATAACTTGAAATTTAGAGAATCAGCTATCGGCTGCTTTTATGATAATTTCTGTGGCGTTGATTGCACCACACTTAATCAGTGCACTGTCTATACTTTGTAAAATATTGAGTGTTTTTTAAATAAGGCGTAGACATGAATTTATCCATTTTTGTCGGTAGGGGGAGGGAAGTAGGCTCATCATTTGGTTACTGTTCTAGGAGAGGGAGGGAAGGAGGATTGACATTTGGTTACTGTTCCAGGAGAAGGAGGGAAGGAGGCTTAACATTTGGTTACTGTTCTAGAAGGGGGAGGGAAGGAGGATTAGCAATTGTTTACTGTTCTAGGAGGGGGAGTGAAGGAGGATTAACATTTGGTTTCTGTTCTAGGAGAAGAGGGAAGGAGGCTTAACATTTGGTTTCTGTTCTAGGAGGACTTTCCCTGTATACGCCTCTGTGTGTTCAACTAAATTGATTATATTGGTTTAAATCAATTTACAAATTTTTTTCCATTCTTTTCCACAGCCAATATCTTCGTTTGTGCAATGCTTCATTATCTGGGGGTATATGTCCAAACCTAATAAATAATATGGTGGTCAAATCAAAAATAAATATTTCATAAACAATTAAAATCTTTAGCAAAAAAAAAGATAAAATGTACTGGGTGTCCCGAACAAACTTTGCAGTAGGGGTTTGGGGTACTGAGGGAACAACTTTCGTTCAATTATAAAAATACCCAAAGAAGTGGATGTAACAAAAAAAGTATAAGGCCTAGAATGAAAAAAATGACACCTTGAAATAATGGAAATATAGAGCTTTTAAATGACACCTTGAATCTAAAACTTACACGTACATTTGAACAAATACTCAGCATGCAAAGTTTTATTTCGGACACCTTGTATTTATAGAAGTTTAGTTAAATTGAAGAATAATACCAATTATTTCATTTAATCTGAAACTTAATGAAATTGTTGAGAAAGTCAAGAATTTTTTTATAAAACCAGCTCACCAAACATTTCCGGTCAACATAACGTCCTCATCCCAACCCTCGTAGAAGGATATGACGTCACTGATATCCCTATAATCATGGATATCTGTTTATTCGTAATTTTATTATTATTTTTACAATTATCTTTATTAATAAGAAGGATATTACGTCACTGATATCCCTGTAATCATAGATATCTGGTTAATTTTATTTTTATTATTATTATTATTTTTATCATTATTATTTGATTATTACTAATAAATAGAATATTATAAAAACAAAATACGACATCTTGAGTAAAATATGTAAACAAAAAATAATTAGTAATGTTCGCTTACAAACAGAAAAAAAAATCTTCATCCAAACATCACTTATGAAACTTTTGCGTTACAAAAAAAGAGTTGTTGAAAATAAGTTTTAAAATTCAATAAACCTTGAAATTTTCAAAATTTACTTTTTTAGACTCTTGAAAAGCAAGAATTAAATCCGTGAATCAAGAATTATTTTACTATTTACAAAGAGAAATAATCAGGTAATTAGAACTTGATTTTATCATGTAATCAGCTGTCTCTATTTTTATGAACTTCAAGGGCTGTAAATGTCACATTTTGAACTATTTTCATCCCTTTTAATTCTTTTCCACTCCACTTCATACAAAACTATATAAATCTTAATGACATCTTTCAAGCTTAACTTCTCTTATTCAAGAGCTATTGAGAAGAACCAAAAACGTTTTGATATTCATGATATGTAACTGGAAATATTTAATTTTCTGAAATTTGTGCATAAAATCAAAACTATAGAAAGTCACAAAGTCGTAGCAGTAATTTTGAATATATTTGACCCTGTGTCCAATGTTTTATGTATTCCTGTTTCTAAAATTGTGTACATTAAACGTTTTCATTATTATAAAACGTTTAGTTCTCATCTAAAGATTGAGAGATAGTGTTTCATTGAGAAATACTAATGGCAACCTCTTTAAAACAGGTCTTTCAAAATAAAGTTGTTTATTTTTTCGTAGAAGACATATTTTCTTTCCTGCACTAATATCTAACTATCGAAAGTATTTCGATAAAAAACATTTTGTTCGAAATTACGAACGTTTTAATCAAAATTATGAACATTTTATTCGAAATTATGAACGTTTTATTCGAAATTACGAACGTTTTATTCGAAATTACAAACGTTTTATTCAAAATTAAAAAAGTTTTTTTTTCAAAATTATGACCGTTTTATTCGAAATTACAACGGGTAATTCGAAATTACAAACGTTTTATTCAAAATTACAAAAGTTAAACTCGAAATTACGAACGTTTTGTTTAAAATTACGAAAGTTTTGCTCGCAATTACGAAAGTTTTGCTCGAAATTACAAACGTTTTGCTCGAATGAACGTTTTGATCGAAATTACGAGCAACATTTACTTTTTCATTTTGAACAATTTCAGTCTCGAGTGTTACAATTTCAAAGGTTTAATCGAAATATTTTACCTGTGTGTCACATTTGCCATAGAAGCAAGTATTCCTGTGATAAACACATCATCTATTCGGAATATTCCACCATTGCTCTTTTCATAAACCTAAATTTTATAATTATTTCACTCACATCTGTTTTCTTAAAATCAAATTTTTCAATTTTCCCAAATTTGTTCCTGACATAAATAATTATTGCCTGAAGGTTGTTGAATTAAAGAACATGAGTATTACCAATATTTTTCTTTAAACTGTACATAGACTGTACAAAAACTGTACATAAACTTCACATAAACTGTACATACGCTGTACATAAACTGAACATAAACTGTACATAAACTCACATAAACTGTACATACACTGTACATTAACGGTGTAAGAACGGCCCATATGCTGCAAACATGCTTAATAATAACATATACTCCACAAAAATAGTAAACTGAACATAAAATGTATTTAAACTGTACTTATCTGTAAATAAAATAGACATAAACTGTATTTAAACCGTACATAAACTGTACATAAACCGTACACAAACTATTAATAAATTGTACAAAAACTATACTTAAAACTGTTCATAAATATGTACATAAACTGTACTTAATCTGTTCATAACTATTCAAAATCTGTACATAAACTGTACATAAACCGTACTTAATTTGTACGCAAACTATATATAAAATATACTGTACAGTGTCAACCGCAAATGAACTGCAAATAGTAAAAATCTGTACTTAAACTGTACTTAAACCGTACATCAACTGTACATAAAATATTTATAAACTGTACAGAATCAACCACACATGAACTGCGAATAAACGGTAAGTGCACTTAAACTGTACATGAACTGCGTACAAAAACTGTACATAAATTGTACATAAACTGCATACAAAAAATGTACATAAACTGTACCTCTAGAAGTTTATCTCTGACATGAGAACTGAATATATAAACAACTCCCCAGCAGTTTGTGGGGAAGTATTCCTCGTCCCATTCATCAAAGGGAATTACCTAAAATATAATTGATTTGTTTAAATTGTTACAATCAGATTATGAATATTTGTTTTTTGAGTTTAAAACAGAATTCTGATTTACAACGTCGTCGTTGCTTGACACAAGAGTTTTTTTTCTTTGCAACCCGATGTCGTAGACCTTTAATATTTCAAATTATAAATTCTATCAGATTAAATATTCTAAATTAAAAATATCAAAGGTGTACACCATCAGGTTGCAGAGATATAGGGATTATCCTGTAAACTCCTGTTCATTAAGCAGTCAAAGCACGCTGTACAGTAAACATACAGACAAATAACGCAAACTGAGACAGAACAAATAAATCGTCCCCCTCTATTGAAATCTAATTCCTTTTTCAAGTTTTCTAAATTGCCGATCTCTTAAAATTCCGGCTCTGTGAATGTTTTTATATATTACCCATTTGTCAATTCTTGTTCCAGTTTTTTCACGCAGAACCTTTTCCGTCTTCGTCGAGCACGTGATGGTATTCCTGGATTATATTTATATATATATATATATATTTATATACGAGCGCGTGATGGTATTCCTGGATTATATATATATATATATATATATACGAGCACGTGATATATTCCTGGATTATGTATATATCTATTTATAAATTTGGCTTGTCTGTCTGTTTGTTTGTCTGTCGTTTGTTTTGGATCCAATAAACGTCAAAACGGCTGAACCGATATGGCCAAAAAATTTTGTCGGACATCACGTGACCACAGGGTAGGTTCATGAATGATAAAAATTTAAAAAAATGTGCTTTAAAGGTTTTTAATTTTGTAAAAAATTTAAATTCTTGAAAATCCGCGAATAATTTTTTTTTAAATCCGCAAAAAATTTTTCTTCTTTGTTTTAAAATATATGTATATATATGTATATATGAAATTAAAGGGATTGTAACAGTAATTTGATCTAACCCTTCATATAAAGAGGAATATGCTCGGCCCAGTACCCTTTATTTATTTGAGCAAAAAAAGAAGATATCGATGTTTTTCTATCTAAAAAGTGTTGAATTCTGTTAATTTTATTTTATATTTCTCTAATTTCTTCCACATAGTCACTTTTATAAAGCAACCACAGAGGTTTAAAGGGTACCGTTGTGCATGGGACCTACGTATCTTTAAATGGTGGTTGGAATATTTAATTGTAAACAAATTTTAACTTTTTTCATGGATAAAGTTATTCATAGAGGTCTTTGCATCTCAGTTATAATGTAGTTGTGAGAGATAAAAAAAAATTTATAAATAGTTTGTTTTTAAAAAATTTAGCTATGTCTGTAAAATGCCCAATCAAAAAACAAATCTATGCATCGTATTCTCTCTGCAATGTTAAAATGTTAAAGATCTATAAATATCTTTAAAAAAATTATGAACTTTATTTTATCTAAAGAATGTGTTTATACATAAAATGGCCCAATGCCACTTTAATAAGATAAAGATAGATAGATAGATAGAAAAAAAATTATGAACTTTATTTTATCTAAAGAATGTGTTTATACATAAAATGGCCCAATGCCACTTTAATAAGATAAAAAAAATATTTCAGAATATCGGAAAAAACGTCAGCCAAAAAAAGTATAATTTAATATCACTAAGCAAATTAGATGAAAATATCCTTAAAAAAATACTGTAAGAAAGAACAACTCTTTTCATCATTTTTAAAGTCGAATATAAAACTAAAGTTCTTTTTTTCAAGTTAAAATCTTGGATGTTTTCAATCACAACACTAATAATAAGCTAAAATTAGAAAAAAGGGTTTAGAATCTATAAAGTTTTGTAAAGTAAAAATAATATTATTTAAACTTACTTTTGATGTTTAACAGCATTCACTAGATCTCCCATTTTTATAATATTATTCACCATATCATCATCTGTCTTCACTATCCAGGGAACCTAAACAATATAATATTATTCGCCATATCATCATCTGTCTTCACTATCCAGGGAACCTAAACAATAATATTATTCACCATATCATCATCTGTCTTCACTATCCAGGGAACCTAAACAATATAATATTAATCACCATTTCATCACCTGTCTTCACTATCCAGGGAACCTAAAACAAATATGTATAAAAAAAATATTATAGAAAAATCATAGGACAAAGAAATTTCGAAACCGCTCGCGAAGCCAGGTTTCGTTTGGTTTTAACGTTTTAAGTTCCAAACTAGATTTTCAAAATTATTTTTTAAAAAGGAAGAAATTGGTCCGTCAGAAAATGAGTACTTTTGCATTCACTTCTTTGTTTTAATTTGTGCAGTATCAATTTAGCGAAAAGGTCTTAAACGTAAAACAAAGGAACTGAGTTTTTGCCACAAACTCAGTTTTCTAATCCCAATATCTTTGTAACATAATGGTGTTAACTTTTAATATTTCAAATTTAAATTAGTTGGTCCTTAAGAATTAACAGTTTGAAATATCTAAGGTAAACGACTTTGTTTTGCAAATCAAAGTTTGTGGCAACTCAATTGTGGTGACTCAATTTTGGTAACTCAATTGTGGTGACTCAATTGTGGTGACTCAATTTTGGTAACTCAATTGTGGTGACTCAATTGTGGTGACTCAATTTTGGCGACTCAATTGTGGTGACTCAATTGTGGTGACTCAATTGTGGCGACTCAATTGTGGTGACTCAATTGCGGTGACTCAATTGTGGCGACTCAATTGTGGCGACTCATAATTGTAACTCTGTAGCAGAAGAAAACTGAGTTAATCCGAATCTTTTCTTAAAGAATTTTCTAAAGTATATCCATTGACCGATTTGCCCCAAATATTGATTTAGGAACTCAACAGAATTACGGTAATGTTCAACTTAGCTTGTTAAGTGGGTTGACTTTTAAAGAGAAAGTAAGTTAATTAATATTCAAAGTTGAGATCTCAAGCTAGTAGTAAATAATATTTTAACTTGTTGAAGTTTAAAATATCTTTCGTTACTTCTGCATGGTTCATTTATTTAATGTTCTTCGCAGATGTTAGATAATTAATGTTTTCTGCTAAAAATATATTGGCACACTTAGTGATAAAAGTATTTAAGATTTTTTATACTTCTTAATTACTGGGCTTATATATAGCACGCTTTGCACCCATCTAACATTTCAAATTTTAATTGCGGCTTTATCTGTCTATGTGTGTAGCAAAAATCGTTTAATCATGCTATTTTGTAAACCTGCAGTACGACTACGTTGTACATTATTAATGATTTAATGTTGTAAACTTAGACATTTAATGACATTACTTATTAAAACTGCGGCAACTCCCATGACCCCCAAGGTAGGTTTATGGATGCTGAGAATTTCAAAACTTTGTCTCCAAAAAATGTTAATTTTTCATAAAATTTTGGAAGTCCTCGAAATTAAATATGATTATATCCAGGAACTTTTTTGTTTTTGTTTTATTGTATGCTCACTGATACGCCACACTGTAGTTTTAGTAGAAGTAAATATTTTTTTGCTGTTTAGCGCCGATTAAAGGATTCATCTCTAATTGGATAATGAGATATGATAGAAAGATAGATGTTACCGCCATGCAATTTCTATTGGTTCAGAATAGACACCAAACATATTGCTGAACCCTGGTTGGATCAGGCGCTAATGAACTACGCATACTAGAGAGGATCTAGCTGCTTTAATACTTAACTACTTAAAACTTGTAATGCGACTAGACTAGATGCGTATTGTGATTAGATTATATACCTGGATAATATTGTGAATACGTATTGGAACTTAACATAAAACATATAGATTTGTAAATAAAGATTATTTAGAATCAGAACTCCACCTTGATTACAGTGTAGAGTAATTGTATCCCGTTGAGTGTTCGGGTTGAGATCATACTTCGTTTAGGGTAGAGATCGATCAAGGAATTGATAGATAGCTAATGTTTGTTTCCTTGTGTGGCTTTTAGAGCCTAAGTAATAGCTTTTTTGATAGCTACGCTTGTGTCCCTTTGTGGCTTTTAGAGCCTAAGTAATAGCAAGATTGATAAGCTACGCTGTGTTTCATTTAGAGCCAGGTGGGCCGTGTCCTGGTTGGCTTGGATAGTGGACGGGTTGTGCCTGGACTGATACAGTTTGGGAAGAAGTTATAAGAGTACGGTATTTACTACATTCACAGATCATTCCCAAGAATTCTGTGTCTCTAGTTTTCGTATTTATTTGCTCACCTTGCTGCATTTTTGTTTTGTCCAATGAATCCAACTCAGGGATTTTAAACCAAGCAGGAAATAATCCTCTAGGATAGATCCTTGGAGAATATCCTTATACCTAGAGATAGATAGATAAATATATAGATAGATAGATAGATAGATAGATAGATAGATAGATAGATAGATAGATAGATAGATTACCTCCTAGCCTCCTGCTCTAGTCTGGTTTCTATCTTGAGGTTGGGATATCTGCCCACCACGAAGAAAAGACTCGCGTTAACAATATCCAAATATTTCTGGGCTCCCCAGGTTAATCGAATCATTTGCCTAAAATGTTTTAATTACTCTCAGAAAGCTAAAACCATAGAGAATAGAATATATATTAGAGGGGAATTTAAAGAATCTCTCGGTATGAATTTTTTCAGTCCCTTTCAGCCTGAAAGGGAGTTCAAAGTGTACAAATCATGTAAATGTTCACAAATTATATGCAGTAGAGTGCATTAATACAGTATGGTCCATCCCTAGACTATTCATTTCATTTTCGAATTTTTTAAACTGTTAAATAAACTTTATGATGAATTAGGTGAATAAAAAACATCATTTGATTTATAGTTATAACGAAAAATCATCGTTTGTAAAGTGGAAGGCATAGAGTCTATGTGAAATGATCATTGGTCAATTATGAAACCAGCCTATTTCATAATTTGGTTTTCTTTTAACAATAATTTTAGATTTTCTATAAAATGATATTCCAGGGCCCAAAAGGTTATATAGCATAAATATGTGAAGGACACCTGCAGTATGGAAACAGTACAACAAAATGGCCGTTTTACACTTTTTTCTAGTAAAATCCCCTCTAATATATATTCTATTCTCTATGACTAAAACAGATTAAGTCTTTGCCACAATCTTGAATTTTCTCCTAATCCCTTTGTTTTTAAATAAAGGTCTACAACAATAGGTTGCAAATATATAGGGATTAGACAATCAAAGTCTGTGGCTAAGACTCAAATCCTTTAAGGAACTGTTATATACGTAAAGGAACTGATAACTCGCCCATACTTCTTAATTTCTAACTCTTATGTCTGTGCAACCTGCAACCTGCATCATTTATCCTTGACAATTTATCATCATTATTATTAAACATTAATTAAACATCATTATTATTATCATCATTATTAAACATCAATTTATCCTTGACAAAAGATATTATTTTAAAAATCATCCATACAAAATATTAGCCCTAATCTATATACAATGTATTATACATTGCTTGTCTTTTGTTTTGTTTCTTTGTTTGTATCCAATAATTTTTAAAACGGCTGAACTGATCAGGCCCAAATTTTATGTGTGATCTAACATGGCTCCAGGGAAGGTTTATGGATGGTCAGAATTAAAAAAAATTACTGTAAAATAATATTGATTTATCCTAATCCACGAAAAAAAGTCTCAAGAAGAATATATATTGTTATTGCTAATTCTAAAAGAGAAGATGAGCGTGAAGCGCCCTGAAAGTCTAGTATCTAATTAATGAACACATTCAATTTCTTAATTTGTTCATAAAATCTTTTTTTTAAAATGTTTTTAGATTTTGTTTTATTTATACTATTGTTGGTATTGCTTGATATTTATTATTTATATATTTGTACATTTTCCTTTTTTTGTCAATTAAATAATTAAATGTAATAAACAATTAAATAAATTAAATAATTATTTAATTTAAAAACCTGTATTTGAAGTTATTGACGGCAGAATAGACTATGATGATCTTATCTCGTGTACAATCAATCTAAATAAAAAGGGATAAAAGGAATTGAGTCTTTGTAACAAACTCTGATTTTCTAAAACCTATATTTTTTCCACCTGATGGTGTAAACCTTTGATATTTCAAACTTAGATTATTTGATCTACCAGCCTTGAAATATCTAAGGTCTACGTCATTGGGTTGCAAAGATATAGAGATTATAAAATCATAGTTTGTAACAAAGACTCAATTCCTTTGCTGTAAATGGACTGTAGTCAGTAGTGTAGTGTAATTTTAAGTAACTCTCTATGCAAAGATGGCAATGCCCGATTTAGAAGGGTAACTCTGAAACCTTTGTCTGATCAAAATGTCGTTTTTCAAAGCTTAAAAGAGTTTAATTCACCAACATTGATAACCAGAAAACTCTGGAATAGTAAGACGACTTTTATAATCAAGTTTTACCTTGAAAAAGTTCAATGACGACGAAACACAGCAATTGTGCACTGTAAAAAGACTCATTTCACAAAAAAGGCGATTTAGAAGTTTACTGGAAAAACCATTTGCTTTGTAACACCATCAAACACACCTAAGTATCGCTATAATGTCGTCTTCCTATTCCATTGTTACCTAGCACTGTATACATTTATTGTATACTTTATAAGGAATGCGCAAGTCACTTTTACATGGAGAAACCACGATTTTTTACATTGAAAACATAATCTAGTTTATACTTGATCAGAGATAACTGTTTAGGGTACCATTGAGAATCGCATTGCCATCTTTAAGAGAATCGATTTGTTAGATTCAAGCAAGTTTCCGTTTTCAAACTAATAAACATTTAAAAAAAATATTTATTTCCCGAGAAAATACTCTAAATACTTTTTATTTATTTGTAAATGTCAAATTCTTTAAGATTTCGATTTATAAAAGTTTTTTTTTCTAATTTATAAAGCTTACTTTTTCAACTATTGAAATAAATATGAATGAGTTTATGCTGACTCAAAGTTCGCACATTTTCCAGATCTTGATCTAACGTTCATAAACTCTTAATTAACCTCATTCAACATATGGTAAAATTATTGAAACAAGTGGTATTAATTGAAACTAAACACGAAGAGTGTATATCATATTATTTTATTCAAATAGAGTTTTTTTTAAATGAAAAATCTAGCGCATTCTTATTTTATATTCTTATTTTATATTCTTATTTTATATTCTTATTTTATATTCTTATTTTTCAGAAAGGATGTCATCACTTTCATCAAATGAAAGTTTTCTTTTCTTTTTCAAATTTTTCCTCGATTTAAAAATCTGATTTTGAAATATCAAAAGTTTACAGAGCTGGAAACTTTTATGTGTTGGTATGCTCATAATCTTGATCGCTTGTTCTAGATATTCCCAATGAGCACTTTTGATTTAAGGATCTACCAAAAATACAGGGTGAGTCAAAAAAAGTGTGATTTACGGCGCTTGGTGCAACTCTTCTGTATGGTGTTTTTTCAATATTCAAAATTGTAATAAGAAAATTCGCAATTTTCAGTTCTGGTCTAATTTTTAAGGAAAAGTTATTTGAATTCTCTAGATCCTTTCTTCCAATTCCAAAGTTAAAAATATACGCTGATCAGTTGAAACCTGAAGAACCATTTAAAAACAACTTTTCCTTAAAAAATAGAACAGGACTGAAAATTGCGAATTTTCTTATTACAATTTTGCCAATTTTCTGTGATTCTGTAATTCAATCTTTATAAAATTTTAGATTTCGATAGAAATAATTTATATATTCATAAAATGATTAGAAAATTAACGTTTGATGAAACTCTTTCTAGAAATGATCAAAATCTGACCAAAGCTTGTTTCCTGGTGTTGATGTAATAAGTGTTAGAGTGGAAAGTTTTACTTTTTATCTTACTTTGTTTTCACAAAACTTAAGACATTTTAGCTTCAGAATTTAAATAATGTAGATAGTTAATTTAATCATTTACTGCGATTAATATGGTCTTACTAGGCTCTTAACTCTTTCACTTACCGTTCCGATCTCAAAGATTATTAAATTCTTTTAAACTGCAAAAAGGAATTAAATCTTTGCCAAAAAGTCAGATTTTCTAATCTTTGAAACCCAATGTAGTATAGGTCTTAGAGATTTTAAAATATAAACTATGTTGTTAGATCAAATAATGTATAGATTTGAAATATCAAAGGTGAATCAGGTTGTAGGAATTACATTATTTGAATTTGTGGTGAAGACTTAATTCCTTTACAATAACTTTAAAATATGAACTGGTAATAATTGTATACCTCAGGTTCTTGTAAGTAATGATTATATCCAAGAAAACTGGGATAACTGTTATCATCCCATAGAGGAGGGTTCTCAGGGAGCAGGGGGGATACTAAACAGATACAGTTAGAATATTATATTAAAGGAGAGCAGGGGGGATACTAAACAAATTCAGTTAGAATATTATATTAAAGGGGAGCAGGGGGGATACTAAACAGATTCAGTTAGAATATTATATTAAAGGGGAGCAGGGGGGATACTAAACAGATTCAGTTAGAATATTATATAAAAGGAGAGCAGGGAGGATACTAAACAGATTCAATTAGAATATTATATTAAAGGAGAGCAGGGGGGATACTAAACAGATTCAGTTAGAATATTATATTAAAGGGGAGCAGGGGGGATACTAAACAGATCAGTTAGAATATTATATTAAAGGGGAGCAAGCGGGATACTAAACAGATTCAGTTAGAATATTATATTAAAGGAGAGCAGAGGGGATACTAAACAGATTCAGTTAGAATATTATATTAAAGGGAGCAGGGGGGATACTAAACAGATACAGTTAGAATATTATATTAAAGGAGAGCAGGGGGGATACTGAACAGATTCAGTTAGAATATTATATTAAAGGAAAGCAGGGGGATACTAAACAGTTTCAGTTGAATATTATATTAAAGGAGCGTAGGGGGAATACTAAACAGATACAGTTAGAATATTATATTAAAGGGGAGCAGGGGGGATACTAAACAGATACAGTTAGAATATTATATTAAAGGGAGCAGGGGGGATACTAAACAGATTCAGTTAGAATATTATATTAAAGGGGAGCAGGGGGGATACTAAACAGATTCAGTTAGAATATTATATAAAAGGAGAGCAGGGAGGATACTAAACAGATTCAGTTAGAATATTATTTTAAAGGAGAGCAGGGGGGATACTAAACAGATTCAGTTAGAATATTATATTAAAGGGGAGCAGGGGGGATACTAAACAGATTCAGTTAGAATATTATATTAAAGGGGAGCAGGGGGGATACTAAACAGAATCAGTTAGAATATTATATTAAAGGGAGCAGGGGGGATACTAAACAGATTCAGTTAGAATATTATATTAAAGGAGAGCAGGGGGGATACAAAACAGATTCAGTTAGAATATTATAATAAAGGAGAGCAGGGGGGATACTAAACAGATTATACTTTTCTATGTGATATTTATATTGTATAAATTCTAATCTTCGTGCAATAAATATTTGATTTGATTTGATTGAGATTCAGTTAGAAAATTATATTAAAGGGAGCAGGGGGATACTAAACAGATTCAGTTAGAATATTATATTAAAGGGAATAAACTATTTGTTTAACCTGATTTGAATTTGAGTTTAAGGTACAATTTGAAATAATCTGTTAACATTTAAAGTGCTTCATTTAGAGATTTACATTTTTATCCTTTAAACCTTTGTATGATCATGAATAAATGAGATATATTCATTTTTCTAGATAACAGTTGCTATTTTTTTAATACTTAGCTGTAAATGTGATTTGCAGATTTATACAGCAGAGAAAATGTTGGAATTTGTCAGAATTAAACAATTTTTAACTTTCAACGATGAAAATAAAGAAAAGGAGTTCAACTCCAGTGAAAAAACAATTAAAAAAAGAAGAAAATACTTTTAGGAAGGAGGGGAGCCATTCTCCCTTCATCTATTATTCTTACTTTCTTCCCATTCGTAGTAAATACATTCCTCGCATAAACAATCATCTGGGTCATTCGAGCACCAGCCTTTTCGGGAACAACATGTTATAATTAATCCCCTCGATCAATGAAGGACTTGAAATTACGCGTGTGCATTCCCTTTGATATTTATATGATGAAACCCCTGAAACCCTTGATAGTTCTCTGACCTGGTATTACAGCGCTGTGGCTGTCCTCTGTCTGTTAAGAAGTTGTATCCACATCTATGTTCAGGATGTTCTTTTATATCTTTATCTTTAGTTAACCATGCAGATTCACGCTGAAATATTTACCATCTATATAAACTTTGCTTGTCTGTCTGTCTGTTTTTTTGGTATCAAATAAACGTAAAAACATCAGGGAAGGTTTATGACTGCACTGGTCCAAGTTTTAAAATTCTGCCCGAAAAAATGCCGAAATTTAATATTTTTGAAAACGTACCAATTTAAACAGAAAAAAATCTGTAAACATTTGAGACTGCTTAAAAATGGCGACGTGTGAATTTAAAAACTTAAATTGTAATTCGGAAAAGAGACGCCCAAAACCCTTGTGGATAAATATTTTGCTTGTCTTCTGTTAGTTTGTTTGTATCCAATAAAAGTCAAACTGTTTAACCGATCCAGTCCAAAATGTTTTTAGAATTTTACAGGACCCAAGAAAATGTTTATAGCCATTAGAAATTTAAACATGCATTTGTCTTTAAATAATGTTGGAAATCTTCACATTTTTCATTTGTTAATGATGTGCGAAGAAAATCTGATGACATAAAAAGCTAAACTTTAAAGCTAAAATGATTATTGATTGCAATTTTAAACACTGTAAACATAATTCATTATTCACCAATAAGTTTGGTGAAAATTCATACTTTGAAGAAGTTCGAATGAATTTGAATTCCACCGAGACATAGTTGAACCATGCAGGCTAAGTTAAACAACTTCTCTTGTGCGCCGGTTCAAGCTTCAGACAACTGCAGGTTTAACTACGTCTACGCGGTTCAGTCACTTTTTTTTCGCTTAAACAGACGCACAAGAGAATTGGTTGAGCTCCTTTTCGCTATTCATTAAATATTGTCCCAGATAAGAAATATACACAGACAGGATTTTAAAATGTTTTCTTACCCTCGATGCTTCCTTATGATCCAGAAGAACGAAAAGTAGAAGACAGAATATGATGGTAAAAAGCATTGGAGTTGTTATATTCATTAAACTATTTTTAAATCGGTGATAACGTCCTGAAAAGAATAAAATTGATTTGTATTTATTTAGATACAGGGTGTTTCACAAAACATGCCAGTAGCAAGACTGCTTGAATGTCTTTGATCCTTGAAATTATTTGCAACAATCAGTTGTCAATCTATAATTTTACAAGTATGATTCTTGAAACAGTAGTCACAAAAATCTCCTAGTCCTGGAATTTCCAAAATGTGGTCTACCTTTTTCAACAATTTAATTAAAACCAAAATTGTCTAATTCTGAACTAAATTCTTTCTTATTTTCAGTAATAAATCACAAAAACGGTGGATAACATATTACACATAATGTGATTATTTACTCTACAATTTCAATTCTAAAATTAAGTTGTCATGTTTCGTGAAACACCCTTTATAATTCTGGCATTCTTTTCCATGTTGTTATTATTTTTATCGTGATTTTTTGGAAGTATTTAAATAAAGCAAAAATGTTCAAAGGAATTGTTGGTGAATTGAGAAATTATATACAATTCAAGAGGACTTAAATATCTTAGAATCAAGTTTTACGTTTTTAAATGGAAAAGTTTGCGTTCATAACATTATTAAAAAAAATTTACTTTATGGTATCCCAAAATAACAATTGCATTCTATATGTACCAGACAATGCACAGAGCTACTCACAAAGGATGAAATTTGAATGAAGACCTAAAACTCTTTTAATATTACGTTCTAAAGGTTGACTTTGAACTTCCGGTCTAACTCCAGGGAACCAGAAATTTTAGAAAAACAAACTGAAAAAATTCCGTACAGTCGTCTCTGAAGTCGCATCCTTTGTAATTAACCCTGCAGCTTAGAGTATCGTGGAGCATATGATTAAGGTATTGTTACTTACTTGTTAATGAAAGAGAATGATGACGGAACGTGTGACTAACTTCACGACTTTCATCTGGAATAAAAGTTTCGGAATCTAAAGTTTAAAATTTTCATCAATTTGTTGCATTGAATAAAAAATTACAAGACATCTTTATTAATGACAAACAGTTTTGTATAAACAATAAAGCATCAAAGGTTAGGAAAAATTCTAAATTTTTTATATTTTAAATTTTTTCAGAGAAAATGCTGGCATAAATTGAAACGGTTTATTTCTTTAATTACTATGGATGCTTATTGATGATATAAATGATTTTATTACTTTATAAAAACATCTAGAACGAAAGGAACGATTCAAAAACTATTTAACTATTCGTTTCGTTTGAAAATACGTTTTTGCACAACTTTTAATGTAATATGATCAAAACTCTAAACAGTTAAAGTTGATTTAATCTGATCAAAACTCTAAACAATCTTGTTAAAGTTTGATGTAATATGATCAAAACTCTAAACAATCTTGTTAAAGTTTAATGTAATATGATCAAAACTCTAGACAATCTTATTAAAGTTTAATGTAATATTATCAAAACTCTAAACAATCTTGTTAAACTTTGACTTTTTATTTGTTTAACACTTCTTTATTCAAAGGCTATAATACCTTGTTTAAAAAAGGTTTAAAATAGAAATCCTGACCTTTTTTAAAACTACCTTGTTCTGAATAACGCCTCATCATGTGAATTCTAGTTTGTCTTGGTTGTCTGTAAGGTATCTCAACTATGTAAACCATTCAACTATTTAGACATTACTGTAGCTCTGAAAAAGATGATTTTAAGATCATGAAGACGACATTTATATAGTTTATATTGCTGTGTTGAATTTTAAAATTTAAAATTCTGTGGCAGATTTTTAAGTTTATCATTCTGTGTCAGATTATTAAGTTTATCATTCTATGTCAGATTGTTAATTTTTTCATTCTGTGTCAGATTGTCAAGTTTTTTGTTCTGTGTCAGACTATCAAGTTTATTATTCTGTGTCAAATTATTAAGGTTATTATACTGTGTCAGATTATCAAGATAATTATTCTGTGTCAAATTATCAAGTTTATTATTCTGTGTCAGATTATCAAGATTACTATTCTGTGTCAGATTATTAAGTTTATTATTCTGTGTCAGATTATCAAGTTTATTATTCTGTGTCGGATGGACAAGATTATTATACTGTGTCAGATTTTCAAGTATAATCATTCTGTGTCAAGTTCTCAAGTTTATTATTCTGTGTCAGATTATTAAGTTTATTATTCCGTGTCAGATTTTCAAGATTATTATTCTGTGTCAGATTATCCAGTTTATTAATATGTGTCAGATTATCAAGATTCTATTTCTGTGTCAGATTATCAAGATTATTATTCTTTCATTCTTTGCGGGTAACCCTGAATAATCCCTCTCTCAGGTTTCTGCAAAAAATTCCTGTTATATTCTGAAAGATTTTTCAGAAGCTATCAAAGTTTCAAGATGATGATGATTTTATGGGAAATGGACAGCATAGATTGCATTTACTTGCGTAATTTTGTTCAATGTCTGCGCAAATTTAGATTTTAAAGGTTTGTGCAAATTTACTATTCAACATAAATGTGCAAGTTTTGTCCTAACAATTTGCGCAAATTTTGATTCAAGAAAACTTGCTGACACTACGGTGTATCAGGATAAACTAAAGAGCAGAATTGTTCCTTATGCATCTACGGGTAGAGTAAAGTGTGGTACGAACGTGTGCCATGGAAAAGTACATCTGTTCATCTTACAGTTTATCTCTACACTTGGAAAAATTAAAACTTTAATATAATTGAGAATTATCAGGAAAATATAAATATTTATTAAAAGAAATTGATGAAATTAGGTCATTAATAATAATTGTTATTTTACATATCGAAGAGTTAACTTCTTATTATGTGGGTAAGCGACAAAAGTATAGCCACTAACCAATAACCTGCTTGGAGAAATAAAATCTTGTTTTTCTAAGATTAGTAAAAATAGGCTTTGCTTAGAAAAAAAGGGCTGCATCTAAAGGAATTGAGTCTTTGCAACAATCTATTTGCAGCCAAATGTTGTAGATCTTAGAAATTTCAAACTAAGTATAAATTCTGTTAGATTAAAAATCTAAGTTGGAAATAGCAAAGGTCTACAAAATGTGCTCATTACAGTATTTACCATCAAGCTCTCTTCTTAAGATGTGGAATAACCTGCCTCTTGACTTAAAAAGAAGCAACTCTCTAAGTATATTTAAAAATAGACTACTAAATTCTCTTTTTGAAAAAAATAGGACAATGTGTTATAAACAGAATTGCTATTCATGTAAAACTAATTAGATATGTTTTAATATGCTTCGATATTTGTTGTGTACATGTCTGAAAATTACTTTAAACTCTAGTTATTCGAATTTATGTATAAACTATTTTGCATATGATAAATTCGCACCCTGATCTCTAATCGTTCTCCTTAAATCTATTTAATTGAAATATTTTGTTATTATTACTAACATTAGGTGGAAAGAATAATCAAAACAGCCAAGAGCTATTTTCCACCTAATTTCTTTATACTTGTACTGTTAATATAATCATTAATTTTGTGATTGTAAACTCTATCTGTATACAGATACATTTATTTTAGCAATAAACTTTATCTTATCTTAACTTATCTTACACCATCTGTTTGCAAAGATAAATGAATTAGAAAATTTGAGTTTGTTACAAAGACTCAAATTTAATTCCATTATCTTAAAAATATTCTGTTTGTCTTTCAAAATTCATGAAACTGAACGTAAACACGATGTATGCGTAAATATTAAATATCTAAAAACACAATGTACAGGGTTACCAACAAAGGATGTTACTTAAAAGACGACTGTACGGAATTTATTCATTCTTAGTCCTGCCATTCATTGTTCCCCGCAGCTTTTTACGTCTCATTATTTTCATCAAATTATTAAAAAAACAATGTTGAGACTAATGTCAAGGCATGCAAACAATGCCCCAAAGTATACCCTTTAATTGTCATATTTGGAGAGTTTATGGTCGTCAATAACGTCAAACCCTTTGTGGTTAACCCTGTACATAAAAAAATCAATCATTAATAATTGGCTACGAAAGTTTGGCTCACTCAATTGATAAAACAAAACGTTCATATTTGTAGATTAAAAATGTCATTGAATAAATGTAACCAGATCTATACTTCATGTTCATTTTTAAGGTTTAAAAATTGCCACAATTAAAAGACACCCTTTAGTTAATATTACTAATAAGAAATAACGAAAGCGTTAATTTTTCAAATACATAGAATAAATATCATAGACACAATCTATGATAAAATATCATAGACACAATCTATGATATTTATTTATCTCTGATTTCACATTTTTCCTAAATGTTCGAATATAGCACAGATTAAATTCTTCTATTCTTGGCATTATTATTCATCAAGGCAATCTGGCTGAAGAAACTCTTTATTCGGATAAAATTCAATTATTATTTAGGCAAAAAATGTTCATGCTTTGGAAATATGCATTATACCATATCACGATAGTCAACAGTCTACATGTAATATAACTGTTTATTATTGTATTATTTTAAATTTATTAATATTATTACATTAATATTATACATATATGTATATATATCTTTAAATAGTATTTTCAACTTTTTTCAGTTTAAATATACATTTTAGATATTTAAATACATATTTCTTCCAAGACAAAATGTTTCATGGGTCTAACCCAATCATCAGTTGGAATAAAACTGATACTGGAGCATTTTTACAATCTTAAATAAATCTTTTTTTATAATAAATTTTGACTTATAATGAACTTCATGAGACGTGAAACATTATGTTTAGTATAATTCTTCAAGAGATCTGAAACGATTTGTATTAATAAATATGGCTCTAATTATTGCTTTATAGTTATATATATATATATTCATTTATTGATATATATGTTTTTAACAGCTGTCTAAATGGCTGGACCACATTGGCTGATTTTTTAAGTGAACCCGTGCATTTTTTGTCGTCGTTATTTTTATGATTTAAAAAAAACGTATTCTCAAAACTTATCCACACAAAAGTAAGATTTTAAACGTCGACTTTGCGCTCAAACACAGAATTTACATATCTTTAAAAAGTTTTATATGTCTCAAATGAATCAAGAATTTGTCAACAACACTGCATACTCAGTTTCACTACCTTACATAGCCTTTCTCTCCCTTTAAGGATATCTCATTATAAAGTTTTCAGCTCAGGTAGTAAAATGAGTATGACCCCCCACCCCACCCCACCCCTCCACTAGTTGAAGTCTCCAACCTGCTCTACACGTAAACACACTTAACCCAGAAACAGCTGATCTCAGTTTAGAGTTTAAACTAAACAATAAACAGAGCAGAACTAATCCTCAGATATTATAATCTGTAATGTTAACAGTGTAGCAAGAACGGTTCCCTCTCTCCGTCTTCCGTTTTCAGATTTTAATTAATATGTCAGAACTTTGATGTTGTCATCCTTGGGATTAAGTTAACAATCAGGGATCGAGCACCGATCCTCAAAGTTAAAGTGTCCACATTGTATATCAAAATCAAGCGTTCAATATAGATTGTTTAGTCTTTGCGTTTTTCAGATATTCTTAAATATGATTCTGAGGTAGTTAACGTTAAGTTTATCAGTCTGGCCATCTTAATATTTAAAGTAATTTTTCATATAAATATTTATTAAAAGTACAGGGTTACCCACAAAGTATAAGACTTCGGAGACGACTGTACAGAATTCATGCAGACTTTTTCTCACTGTCTTGGTTGCCTGCAACTTAAAACATGTGTTTTTCTTTGTCAAATCATAAAGTAAATCATTGCAGGACTAAATTAAAGACAACATACAAAACTCAACCTTCAGATCGCTTTAAATTATGATTTTTATGTCATCATTTAGAGTATCCCATTCTTTTTGGGTAATCCGGCAATTTATTAAAGAGATGATTAAATTGCTTTCTCATACAAATGTGTCTTTTTAATTTGTAAACTGCGTTCTTAAATGACAAAGATATTAAATGTTAAGATAATTTTGGTGTTGAACATTAAATCGTAATATAAAAGAAACTATTTTTGTTGCTCAAAACTACTTGTCCAGGGTATTCTTCTGTATCGAGTATCCTGTGTCCTGCATCCTGTATCCTGTATCCTGGAGAATGTTGGGAAGAAGATTATGTTTATTTCTGCTCCTACTCCTGACTACACTGGAGATTATCGTATTCCAACAGTTGATATTCTCTCTAACAGCAGATATAGTACATCTACAGGATATACAGAATATACAGGTTAATCATGGGGGGGGGGGTGAAGACAGATAAAGATTGAAGTGGGAGGAGGAAGAAGAATGGAGAAGGAAGTTGGAGAAGGAAGGGTAGAAGAGTAGAGTAGGATTGAGTAGGATTTGGGGGAAGGAAGGGTAGAAGAGAAGAGTAGGATTTAGTAGGAAGTGGGAGAAGGAAGGGTAGAAGAGTAGAGTAGGATTGAGTAGGATGTGGGGGAAGGAAGGGTAGAAGAGAAGAGTAGGATTGAGTAGGATTGAGTAGGAAGTGGGAGAAGGAAGGCTAGAAGGAAGGGTAGAAGAGTAGAGTAGGATGTAGTATGAAGTGGGGGATAATGTATGAAATTGGAGAAAGATCGAGTAGGAAGTGGAAGAAGGATGGAATAGGAATTGGGAGAAGGATGGAATAGGAAGTGGGAGAAGGATGGAATAGGAAGTGGGAGAAGGATGGAATAGGAAGTGGGAAAAGGATGGAATAGGAAGTAGGAGAAGGATGGAATAGGAAGTGGGAGAAGGAAGGAATAGGAAGTGGGAAAAGGATGGAATAGGAAGTGGGAGAAGGAAGGAAAAGGAAGTAGGAAAAGTATGGAATAGGAAGTAGGATAAGGATGGAATATGAAGTGGGAGAAGGATGGAATAGGAAGTGGGAAAAGATGGAGTAGAAAGTGGGTAAAGTAAGGAATAGGAAGTGGGAGAAGTAAGGCTATAGCAAGTGGGAGAAGGATGGAAAAGGAAGTGGGAAAAGGATGGAATAGGAAGTAGGATAAGGATGAAATAGAAAGTGGGTAAAGGAAGGAATAGAAAGTGGGAGAAGGATGGCTATAGGAAGTGGGAGAAGGATGGAATATAAAATGTTAGAAAGAGTAAATAGGAAGTGGGAAATGAATTAGGTAGAAAAGGGGAAATGGGCTAGGTAGAAATGGGGGGAAAGAGGAAAGGAAAGTAAGGAGGGGCGAAAAGATTAGCAAATGGGAAAAAATTATTTTTAAACTGACTGTTGGAAATACAACAAATTTAAATCAATTTTTCGTTAAATGTTCTTGATATAGAAACAAATTTCAAAACATTTAATTAATTAATCGTTCTTATTCGATAATTTTCTTTTTTTCAGTTGGTTCATTCATTCTATTCTTATAATATATCTTGGTATAACTATTAACTAGTTCAAACAAGACATACAACCTTTCAACTGTCCACTTTTACTAGGTTAACCAAGTCAGGTATAGTACGAACTAGTTAAAGACTAGGGAGTAACAATGTATCTTGTAATCTTAAGATAAAGACATAATGCTGGTAATCCAAGTCAGCGTCTTAGGTCTCTTAGGTCATCTTCCTGTTACTGCCAAACGTATAGGGCGCTCACCCCCTTAGCTCAGCAGCGTCTCAGGACATAGGGTTACTTTTCTTTCTAACTTTTACTAACAAACATCAGAATTGGGTTCAGTTTATTTGCCAAAGTTTACTTTTACCCCTTCACTAAGATTTGACTTTGCAACCAAAATATTTCAAAAATTATTTTTCCCCAAAAAAAGTTTTCTTTGCAATTTACTTAACTGACCCTTACAGTTCTGATTACTATCTCTCTTAGTCTCTTAAACCTTTTAACGATCGTAGTCGAAAAAGCGTTCAAAAACGACTAAACAATATATTTTCTTGCATATTCAAAAATGCGTCTTTAAACTATTTTACTGATGCCCGGATATAATAATATCCTCTCGTTAATACAAAACTGGGCATGTGGTTCTTAAATCAAAAATAAAGTATGCACCGTTTTCTTTATTGGTGGACTTAAAATCAACGAATTTAAATTTTTTTTTGCTTTTAAAGTCTTTGCTCATTTGCTGAAATTTTCTTCAGGACAGAAAATTTCTTATTTCAAAAGTTTTGCTTTTACTCTTTCTGAGATTTTATATCTTAATCTTTTGAAAAATATGGTGCTTTAGTTTAAACAAATTCTTGATCTATTACTTTAGTTTAAACAAATTCTTGATCTATTACTTTAGTTTAAACAAATTCTTGATCTATTACTTTGCTTAGTCCACTTTAAGTTTCGAATTTAAAATAAAGCATGCACCGTTCTTCTTTATTTTTGGACTTTTACTTATTTGCTGAAATTTCTTCAGGACAGAAAATTTCTCATTATTCAACAGTTTTGGACTCACTTGAGATATGATCTCTTAACTTCTAAAAGTTGAAGTTTAATCTTTGCATGCCAGCTAATATCTTTCAAGTGTAAAAGTGGTCCTTAACTTGTTTAAAAACGATTCGCCGTTTTCTTTGATGCTGGACTTAGGTGCGAGAAAATCTTGAGCGCTTCGCTTCTCTTAAAGATTTTACAAACGGAACTTACGTAGCCTTAAGTAGTTCCTTTAAACTTGCTTTTCTTATTTGAACCTTTTAATATACATTATAGCCCTTTATAGTTCTTACACTTTCCTAGAACCGTCTTTTAATAAACAGTGTAGTGTAAACACTGCGCCAAGTCCGTTATTTTGCAACCTAAAATATTTTCTGTGGAAAACTAAATTAGTGTTGTGTATAACAAAACAATACAGATCCCTTATTTTGTGACTTACAGTTTTTTCAGACATTTTGTTTTAGGATCCCCAAAGAAGCACACGGATATCTGTAAAAACCTCGAAAACATCGGAAGATGACAAATTTCCCTCCGAGCCCAGGAACGAAGACGATATTCAGATATCTCATATTACAGCGCTCACCACATTCATCCTTACTCTGCTCTCTGCAGCAAATTTGAGCATTAGGTCAGCAACAGATTATTAAAGAGACTGTATGCCGATGTAATTTTTAAGTGACCCTCCATGCAAAAATATCAATGTTTTTGTTTCTTTAAATGTTTACTTTCATTTGTGGTTTCTCTGTGAAAGTCATTTGAGCATTTCTTGCCTATAAGAAGCAATGGAGAAACTCACAGAAATAAAAACTTTTTGGAACTGAAAAACGAAGGTATCTTCCACATTTTTGATCAAGGGTTTCAAGGGTACCGTTGTAAACCGGGCATTACCAAATTTGCATGGAGGGTCACATTGACTTTTTTTAAAGATTTGTCTAGTAATAGTCTCTTTTCTTTAAAATATTTATTCAACATTTTGAAAATTTTATCTAAACCATACACTGGGCAACTGACTTGAAATAGTCCAATGAAAATAAAACACAGCAATTAGAATAACTGAAAACGAGATTTATTTTGCCTTTTCTTCTCCTTTTTTAGAATTGTGAAGTTATTCCCACAATAACTATTTTTAGAGGTTTTAGAATATATTTCCTCCTCGACTTAAACACTGCATTTCTTTGTTACTTACTTACTTACTTATATTAAAACTTCAAGTATGATTCTGAAAACCTGGTTAGATAACAAAAAATGAATTAGATGTGATTTTAGTTATTTTTGTTAAGCAGACGTCTAGCTGCCTCTTGTTTCAAATTCTCCGTATATTTTTCAGTTTGCTTCATGGTTGTGGAATTACGTGTTTAAGACCGGGGACGCCATCTTGTGCAGGTGTCGTCTTCTTTCAGCTGTTAATAAAATGGTGGACGGTTCTAAAAGTCGTCTTTGCCCTCGGACTTTCTGTTCTTATCTTTACAAAAGACGTTCCTGTACCTGTTCTAGGCACTGCAACTTTTGCCGTACTTCTAGTCATATTTTCAGGTAAAACTCTGCGCCATTTTCTTAATTTGAATAATCAAACAGAACAAGACGCATAAAAGACTAAAGTAATAATTTTATAAATTCCAATGACCACGAAATGACAGTAAACTTTGATCCATTTCTATTAAAAAGATGATTTTTACCTATAAATATTTTTATGATTTGCATCATAACAACATCATATTAACCCCTGGGCGTCATGAGCCTCCGCTATGCAGACACCAGCCTCCTGGATTTGCTAGGAAAATCGAGCCTCCATAGTGCAGACCAAGCCTCCGCTATGCAGTAAACGAACCTCCACCATACTGCAGTACAGCTTTTTTAAAATCTTGGTTTGTATGTGTAACGTACAATTTTAACAATTTTTTTTGACGTAGTGGCATAAGAATTTTACTAAAGATTAGAGTTATTTATTGATTTTCATGATTAGAAACATGTATGGACTCATAAAGTGGATTTAAGATGTATGCTAAAACTTTAAACATTTCTTACGCAGAAAGGAAGATATTTATTTAGTTTGTTTAGTTGTAATCCTTGATTTAAGCAATACCTTTTTTTGAAAAATGTTAATATTTAAAAAAATTATACAAATTTTTAGATTTAATTTGAACTACAAAAAAGGTTATCGTTTAAATCTAAGATAATAAATTAAAAGATGAAATTCAATTTAATTAAAATTTTGTTCTCTAAATATTTTCCTTTTCATTTAAAAAATGTTTAAAGTTTTATATTGCACTTTATTAGCCATAATTAGGCACTATTTATGATAATTGATAAATACTTCTCATCTTTGAGACACCTCTCATGTATGTCGAAATATTTGAAAAAAAAATCTTTTATTTAAAATTAAAACACAAATTATAAAAACCTCCTGAATTTCACAGGCACATTTTGATGTTTTGCGCATGCTCATTTCTGCATAGCGGAGGCTCGGTCTGCCTAGCAAATCTGGGAGGCTCGTGTCTGCTCATGGCATCCGGGGGTTTCCTCCCTCTATACACACAAGATTGTCGTCTACCTATTCCACAATTCAGTGGGTCTCATTGTATCTTAAGTAAAATGAAGATTTTCCAAATAAAATTATTTCTATAGGATCTTATTTTAACTGTTTTTTTTTCCATTCATGATTCACAATTAAGTTTAATTAATAATTTTATAAAAGCTCTTAAGAAAATTAAAACCATTGCGTTTCTCTTCAAAGCAAAATTTTACGCATTTAGATAATATCTTTTAATGAACATAATATCTTTTAAGTTAATAATTTATCATACATTTTGAACCTTCGCTTGACACGATATTTTCTCATGGAATTCATTTTCAACAAAATGATTCGTCTTTAGATTCGATTAATTAAATATAATGCCATGGAAGGAAACATTTATGACGGTCGATATTCACTTTACCTGGATGAAATACAAAGAAAAAATTAAACAGATTCGTCATTTTTTCACACTCGATAAAGGGTTGACTATATATTCGCTCACAGTCCCTTTAACCGGAAGTAAAGACCAAATTCTTTTTCTTTTTGAAAACTGATTAGTTTCAATTATGGTTTTCTGAAAGCAAGGGGCACAAGAACACGAAGATGATGTCATAAATTATTACATACATACATTATTATTGATTTAATGTAAGGCTGATCTGCCTTAAAATTACAATGACAGTTCCTTTAAGCGGAGATAGAAAAATTTAACATTTTAATATTTTCAGTTTATGAAGTTGTTCACATACTCACCCAGACAAACCTTGTGGGTAGAATAGTGAAGAAATCTGAGAACAAAGACGACATTCTTTATCGTCCTGTTCAGTCGGAGGAGTTTTGAGCTTATACACATCTACTATTGTATCTTATGAATTTATTGATTTATTTATGGTAATAAAACATCTATTGGATTGGACACAAAGGTTAATTGAGACTTTAGAAAAAACTGTACTAAATGTCTTCTGTCTGATTCTCTGTAAACTTGTTTCTTTCCTTGACAAATCGTGAAATAAGCCATTACAAAACTATATTCAAGTTTAACCTTGCGATTGTCATATAATATGAGTTTCAAGTCGTCTTTACAGTCTTAACCTTTGTGGGTAACCTTGTCTAAAAGGTGGATACCTGTTTGAACTAATGTTCATTTGAGCTATTGTTCATTTTAACTATTGTTCATTTTTAACTATTGTTCACTTGAACTATTGTTCATTTGAACTATTGTTCATTTGAATTATTTTTCATTTGAACTATTGTTCATTTGAACTATTTTTAAATCAATCATTACTTGTTCGTTTGAACTATTCTATAAATTTAGTTTTGTTATAATTCATGAAGTTATAGGTCATACAATTAAGTTGATATGGTTTAATTAAACACAAAGAAATATTTCAAATGAACATAAAATAGTTCAAATAAAAATAAAAATAGTTCAAATGAACCAAAAAATAGTTCAAATAAAGTAGTTCTGTAATGAAGAAAGTTCAAATGAAAAAAAAAATAGTTCAAATATGAACAAAAAATGGTTTAAATGAACAAAAAATATTTATTTTGTATTATTTCAGGGTTAGGTTAGGTTATGACACTTTCTGGGCTGAGCGCTGCGGATAAGACATGCTAGGGGGCCGAGCGCTGCGAGTATGACCGGCTGGGGTCAGGGGGCCGATCGCTGCGGACACATGACCAAACTAATGTTTTGTTCATTTGAACTATAATATAATGTTAATAGTTCAAAGAAACAGTATTTTAAATGACAAGAAAATAGTTCAGATGATCACGATATAAACTCTTTCGAACTATTGTTTGTTTGAATTACTCATGAAGTACCACGTGCAGTAGTTCAAACGGGAGTAATTTAAACAGAATAGGATCTGTATAAAAGTAAGTTGACGAATTAATATTGTATTAGAAGGATAGCAGAGAAAGAAGGGTTTGTAACTGAAAGGATTGTATTAGAAGGATAGCAGAGAAAGAATGGTGTGTAACTGAAAGGATTCTATTAGAAGGATAGCAGAGAAGGGTGTGTAACTGAAAGGATTCTATTAGAAGGGTAGTAGAGAAAGAAGGGTGTGTAACTGAAAGGATTCTATTAGAAGGATAGCAGAGAAAGAAGGGCGAGTAACTGAAAGGATTCTATTAGAATGGCGTGTAACTGAAAGGATTGAGAGAAAAGGATGATGAAAGAAGACAAAGTGAATTACAGAAAGGATGATTATTGAGGAAGTAATAAATAATATATTGATTACAATCACTTGAGATTATAAGAGACAACCTCATTAATCTTAATCCCTTGCGTTGTAACGGTAAATATTGATTGTGTGAAAATTTGCTCAGATTTATTAGTTTTGCAAATTCTTAACAGTTAGCAAGTGGTTTTCAGATTCAACCAGTCATTAGGTAGATAATAGATATATCTTATGTAAAAGAAGTATCGTAATGTACTGTCTTGCTACAGGATATCCCACGAAAAATGACGGCAGCTAGATGACCTGAAATACATCTTTAATCTTTGAAATATCTTCGAAAAGCGTAACCACGCAAATAGATGATTTTGAAAGTCGACTTGCACTCAAACTCAGTATTTATGCATTATTAAAACGTCTTATATGTCGCTAATGAACCCTAAAAAATGTCTCCACAATACTGCATTCTCCGTTCAACTACCTTACATTGCCGGTCACTCCCTTTAAAGTTCAAAGACGGCGTTCAAGATTTTCAAAACAAAATTTAAAATTTAAATTAATTTAACTTTTTCATAAAAATATCTTCTTTTTTCATCTCTACTTCCATACCTTTATTTTGCTTGTCAGTTTGTCAGTCTGTTTTTGCTTGTTTACAATCATAATTATGTCAAAACGGCAGAACCGATTTTTTTAAGCTTTGGAAATACATCACTTAAAAAAGAATATCCACGAAATGTTTTGTTTTACAATTACGAAGATGGCGATGTTGCATTATTCTACAAATCTAAAACAACCACAATTGTTACAACAATATTTTTTATTTGTTCTAATTGAAACAATTAAATCAATAAATAAGACAAATATTATTTATTGGTTTGATAAATGAATTTGTATATTTATTTATTGCATTTTTTATCTAATTACTTTAAGAGTTGAAGCGTAAACGTAGATCTAGGAATTGGGAAAACAGAAAAAGTAATCATGCGATGAACAATGAACATGTCCTAAATTAAAAATACAAATGAAAAACAGTTAAATTCTTCATGCAATTATATTATAAAATATTATCAGCATTTATTTACAAATATTTTTGTAAGATATTTGTAAGAAAAGATTGAAGAGATTGTGGACGGTGATTAGCCAATAAAAGATTGACATTCCAAATTCACTATAAAAAATTATCTTACGCAATATTTAAAGGAACCTTTAATATTTCAAACTTTGACATTTAATCTATAGCAGAGTTCGTAGTTTGAAATTTCCAGGGTCTACGACAACAGGTTGCAAAAATGGAAGAATTACAAAATTAGAGTTTGTAGGGAATGATTTTAAACTTCCAGTTGACCTGTGACCATCTTATTTCAAGTAAAGCAACTTACACTTGTTAAAATGGTTGACGTCAAACAACGAAACTTATTAAAATCTTGAAATAATTATTTTGATGTAAAGTTTCCTGAGAGATTACTCGTGGTGTATAATTACATCAGACTTCCACGTGGCATCAGCGTGAACTAACATCTTATACACATGGTGACATCTTATATACAGGGTGACATCTTATATACAGGGTGACATATTATATACAGGGTGACTCACAATAGATATATGACTTTAATGACAACCTGCAACCCTTTAAATACAACCTTTTGAGGGTTACATTACGCGTTCTGTCGAAAATAAAGTTTTACTATGGCCAATTATAAAGTTTGGAAGTGATAGAAATAATTTAAAGGGAGTGTTCGTGAAAAATGAAAGGGGGTATAGGCTTAATGCGATAAAAAAGCGCTTTTGATCGCTACTAATCTTACTTCTATCTGTTGCGTCTATAAGGAGAAAATTGTTAAAGACGTCTCATACCGAATAACATGGCGACCATACAAATTGAGAAAATTTCAACATACGACTTAGACGGTAAAAAATCAATTTAATTTCAAACAAATCATTCAGATATTACAACCTATAGTCATCGATTATCTTTCTCCACATTTATATATAGTTGATTTTTCATAATATGTTCTAATGTTATGATCTGAGAGTTACTTATAAAAACGTTTATTCCTGTTTCGAGGATTTTTGGTAATAAAGACGACATTTTCATATTTTCCAGGAATGTTCGAAAACAAGTTGTAAGCTAAATATTATTTTAAAAAACAAAATCAAAATTAGTATACCCCCCTCTCATTTTTCGCGAACACTCCCTTTAAGAACTGCGGGAACCTTATATGTAAGAAAAAAAGCGGAATACAGTTCTACAGTCGTCTCTGAACTCTCATACTTTGTGGGTATCCCTGTAACTGAGCCAAAATTAGCGTACTGGGAGATGACTTGAAAGCAATGGCACAACAAGGATATTTTGAAGGAGGTGGAATTTTCTAATTTAAAAATTCTTTTGGATGAAAAAAGTTTGAAATATCAAAAAGTTTACACCATCAGGTTGCTTAGATAAAGGTATTAGAAAACTTGAATTTGTGGCAAATATTCAATTCCTTTACACATGTGGGAACCATGAAATTAAAAAAAATAGTCCATAAAGGCTCATACTTTGTGAGTAGCACTGCATCTTTAAAGACTTTAAAGACTTTTTTTAATATTTTATATTTATCTTATATATATATATATATATATATATATACTGCAAATTGAATGACTAAATGGTTGAATAAAAAAAACAATAAATACATGATGCAAAATATTTAGTTGTAAAAGTGTGATTAATGCAACCGAGAGTATTGAAGCGTGTTCGTTTAAGAATAAACTCATCCGCCGTAATGAAATGCATAATATATCGCGGCATTCTATATTCTCCGCGCTATTGCTTCTGTTCCCGTTCGGTGTAGAAAAAAGATGGAAGCCAATGGTGCGGAAACCAAAAGCTTACATAATTATTATCAAAAATAATAATATTCAATATATGAAAATAAATCTTGTTAGCGTGTTAACACATTATTACGCGCCTTTCTTTTTGTATGAATTAAAGATAATCAATATTTTTTTTTATTCTATAAACGCTTATATCCTCTTCATATCGTTTTAATATTATATTGAAAGGAACTGCCAAAAAATTCTGAATTTTAGTCCCTTTGAACCCCAATGTCGTAGACTCCTACTCCTACTCCTACTCCTACTCCTACTCCTACTCCTACTCCTACTCCTACTCCTACTCCTACTCCTACTCCTACTTCTACTCCTACTCCTATTCCAACTCCTACTCCTACTCCTACTCCTACTCCTACGCTAAATATCAATTAAAAGGAAGTAAAGTCTGCAATATATTTGAATAAACTATTAGAAATGTATGGAAATATACATTTTATTGATTTTATTCAGCTCTAAACATTTATGAATAAAATACACACAGGTTCATTGATTGTCTTCTCTATTCATATAAATTTAATTCAGTTTTGCAATAACCTTGATTTAAGCAATTGTAAACATGCACATATGATACAAAAATGTGGAAATATTCGGGAGTTAAATTCACAAATATCTCTTAATCCCTTTTTCTTCCCCAAAAATATTTATTTACTCTTTCTACATGTGTATCCAATTATTAGTGTAAACATCTTATATTGGAATCAAACATAAACGAAATATATGTGAGTTATGCAACAAATTTTAAGCATCAAACTAAGGTGAGAATCAGAAAACTCTGGAATAGGAAGACGACATTTGAGCAATAATCAAGTTTTGCCAGTAATTCATATGTCAAATGTTCATGAGACTATTTAAACTCGTA